AATTTATTCATCATTGTGAAAAAAAAATAAGTGTCAGAAATAAAAATGCGTGCTCGAAATTTGATGGTTTTGAAATTCAAAATCTGATTTTGATGCAAAAATAATTCAGCTTTAGAAATTCAAATTCAAAATCGGATGGCACAGATTTACTTCCATACAATGAGGACCTGTGTTCATTAACACCAATCCTGAAAGTTGCCTCTGTATCAGCTGTTATTTGTCTCTGCAATCACAGCGCTCTCATTGGAAAACACTCTTAGGGCTCATCTGTCCATCACCAACTTTTAAAATCCAAATCAAAAAGGAGTGGGATCTCTGATATCAACTTTGTCAACAACAGTGGCAGTGGTATGTATGGAGGGGAAACTATCTACAGACCTTTCATGTAATTCACAAATGATAGCATTAAAACTCTATAATGATCAGTGAAATTATGGCTACACTGAGTACAAGAACATTAAACTCTGATACTGACATACAGGCAAGTTGGATGCAGGACCTTTACATTTAAATAAAGCTTTATCTTCTTCTGCTTTTAAATCAAGATGGCAAGATCAGCAAAGACATGAGGGACACAATTTTGTCCATAGGAGGTGCCAAAACCTGCTCGAACCAAACGTTCTTCACAGGAGCTTTAAGTGTCGAGCTTTTACCTAAAATTAAATAAGATTATGTGTTTATGGACACTTTTAGATATGTAACAAATCTATAGACTTATGCATAAAAAACAAGATCCAAAGTGGAGGATTTTGACCAAAAGAGTAAAATGATCATGAAGACAGTCTATCTGTATGGTCCATCTTTAGTGAGTGACTGGTGGAGCTGTGTAGGTGAAGTGTGATGAGGCATCAGAGGTGAGTGGCAAAGAGGGGGAGGAGTCTGGGGTCACCGTGGCGGAGAGAAACGATGGATACAATGCTTCGGGGTCCTGGCATTGCCTCCTTATAACGACATTACAGCGAAAAGAACAAGCGGCAATGAGCGACACCGTCATTAACCTCTGGCTGCGCTATAAATCAACAGCAGTTCACGCAAATTAGACCAATTCCCCTCGATCTGCCTCCAAAGGCCCTCACTTGGACTGCGCCATTATAAATCACATACACGGAAAGGAGGAGACCCCCACACATGCACCCACACACACACATACACTGGATACAAGGAGGGAGCATGCAGACACTTTTATTAGTAGTGTTTTACAGTGAGCCATATAAGCTAAAAGAATTAAATTCCTCAGGCTTGCCCTTGGTGGTTCATACATATTTTCATCATGGCTGCTTATTACAGATTCGATTCTGTCCAGGAGCTGGAAGAAATTAACGTTACTTGTAGCCATGTTACAGGAGAGGAGAGAGGCACAAAGGTGTGGAAAAGAGGGGGTATACTTGCAGAATAAAGATGACTTAGGTTATGCAATTTTCAGATTATTATTCTGCACAGTGCGGCCCTGGGGACTGATTTGATGTAAATATGAAAGCATACAACATCCCTTTTTTCTCAAGCAACAAAGAATTAGTTAAACAGAAACTAAAAATAACTCTGGCTGTAAATAGAACACTGTAATTTGCCACAAAAGAGTTCAAAATCTCTTTTTTATCATGGTTAGATTTTTTTGTCATCAGTCTCGATGCTGGAAATTGTAATATATTTAGATTGAAGACCTGATCTGATAGTGTTGTGGCCTGATTTATTTTTTATGCTAATTTTCAGCTGATTTTGGATTAGGCTGTTGGTTTTCAGTGCATGCAGGGCGGAGGAGGGATGGACAGCTGCCGGCTCTCCGCAGTCGTCTGTAGGAAAGAGTACAAATTGCACGTCACTCGGAAAGGTAACAGATATGGCAGTGTGTCTCTGCCATCTGTCACTGTAGCTTCACACAGACAAAAGAGAGTCGGACCGCCGAGACAGCAGCGAGGCCTCAGCCTGCTATTGTCCTCAAGGCGTGTGGGTGAACGCAGGGCCCCTTATCATCAGGCCCAACTGGAGTGATGCACCCGGCTAACAGCAGCATTGTTCACAGCGTATGCCCACCCAAGGGACCAAAAAGAAAATTAGATTTTTGAATATATTAGTTCATAAAATGCTGTTTTTTTCTGTCGTATAAATCAATGAAAGAAAGAGAAAATGTTCTTTTGTGGAGTTGGATTTCATGTCCCTGATTTCAACACTTGTCTCTGCCCTTTTTATCTCCTGAATGACTTCTCCAACTCGCACACGCACACACACACTCAGGTGCACACACACACTTCCATCCACTCCCACAGATAAGGTCCCAGGCTTAGTCGACTGGGTCGATTTTTTCCATTATGGAATTTCATAATAAAGATCAACTGTCACTGCAATCAAAGCATCACTTAGGGCCATCTTAAAGCAGAGCAAGGACCTCTGTTTTCATCCAGAAAACCTCCTCCCCCTCCCCAAAATAATCATCCTCAATCCTCCCAAACACCACCGACCCTCAGAGAGTCCCTTCTCTTCCTCTATCGTTGTCTCAGAGGAGAGAAAAAAGCAAAGATGAGGAAGGTCAACGATCTGTCAACAGTAGATAAAGACGGATGGACGTAAGAAGCAATCGATGAAGGAATCTAAAAAACTTAGCCACTTTTTGAAATTTTCCTCTGAAAGGAAAACAGGAAGGTTAGGTGCTGTCAGACTTCTTTTTGACTCATTTCACTTGCTAGAAAAGCCAATGTCAATTTATTTTCAAGGATACTGTCTCAGCAGTGCACAGAGGGGTATGTAAATGATGTTAGTGATTCTGCGTGTGAAATTCTTCCTGTGTCTGTGCTTGTGCTGTACTTGGGAGGAGAAAAAAAAAAGAGTCCCTTATTCCTTTTTTGGACAGCATCACAGAGCAACATGTGAGATTACACCACCTAATCCCTATGTAATCTCTGTGTTCCTCGCTGTGGAAGCTGCCCCGGCACGAAGGTCCAATGGCCTTGCAAATCAGTTCTTAATACAGTAAAATAGACAAGAGTGCAAGAGAGAGAGAGAGAAAGAAGTAGCAGAACAGGAGGGACAAAACAGTGATTGTAGGGAGTATTTTTGGTTATTTCAAACTTGTCAAAGCCTGTGTCGATAAAAAAAACAACACCAAAGTTATTTAAAGTTTATATTTTATCTTTGGTCAGAGTATTAACTTACATATATGCGGCTAAATACAGATTTTTTTTTTTTCTAAATAGTTATTTCTAAAGACAGTTAGGGCTGCCACAATTTTAGATCTTCACTTGACGACAATTGTAGCCAGAAAATAAAGCTATTTACTGGTCCTGATGTCTGTAAATGCTAATCTATTGTTTTCCACAGCAAAGAGTGACATATTTAAAAGCAGTCGAAGGCTATGTTCACACTGCAGGTCAATTCTGATTTTTTTAACCAAATGTGACACATATCTGATTTTTTCATGTAAGTGTGAACAGTGCAATTCTGATTTTTTCAAATCCGACACAGACCTCTTTTGTATGTGGATATAAATCTGATATGTATCCGATGTGACTGCAGTGTGGATGCTCAGAATCATTCATCCGACCTATACGCCATCAATATGCGACAAACGTCACCATTGTTCGACAACACAAACAGGCGCGGAAAGCAATTTGTGCGCATGTGGGACACTGCACGGACGCATTCTGTTCACATTAGATTCCGCATTCGTTGTTGTAATCTGAACGACCGCACAAAAAGATCAGATTTAACAAAAAATCTGTGCATCATAACCTGCAGTATGAACGCAGCCTAAGACATTTTATCAGAACACACTACCTCTGCATGCATTTACAAGGTCGATCAAGAAGTAAGAGGTTTTTTTTAAGTCAGTGTGAACCCAAGGATCTTTAGAGCTTCAAAAATGCCCCCCTTGAATATTGCCAATTTTGCTTGAAATGCGTGTACTATTTTAAGAATTTAACTCTGCCACGTTGCATTAGACTCTCATTTTGTCATTGGTTTTTTTAATCTTTCTTTATCTTCCATGGCCCTGTGCAGATGGTGTATCAAAACTTTATTACTTCAGCTTGTTTGTGTCAGGTTTTGCCATTGCCAAGTGACATAAAACATACTCACTCTTAACATTTGGTTTTAGATGTCTTTCAAATGTCACAGACATTTTTGACAGTACCAGTAATGGTCAACTTCTAGGAATCAAATCTTGAATTCTCTTTATTAAATGTGGGAAAAAAAAACAGGTTTAAGGGGCCTTTTCGTGTCCAGCTGATTCTTTGAATACACTGTGAGCCTCACTCAGTTCTTGCAGGAAAACTGTGATCATAGTGCAGCTGAAAGGGAACAGGCGCGCTGTCGAGTTCAAAGTCTGACCCCTCAGATCCTGGCTCCCTCTGTGCAAAGGCGGTTCCTCCATGTTTTAAAGTCAGGGTTTCCAATCAGACAGATTGGTGTTTGGGGCCCTGTTTGACACGAGGGGCCCCAGTGTTGCTTCAAATCCTGGTGGGCCAACTGGCAGCCTCTCAGGAAGCCTTTTTCAATTACCATAAGAGCCTTGGCTTGTTTCCCTTCATCCTATTCTTTAATGGACTTTGCATGTATCATCTCATGCAAATGACTCATAGCAAGGTCCTTCTCCTTTTAGTGCTGTTGTTTTTCCTGAGTGTTTACTTAGTGTGAGTCCCCTTATGTGTGTTGTGCGTGCACCTGTGTGTCTTTGTGTGTGTGATTAACTAACAAAGATACCAGCCATTATCCCCTGCATATCCCTGACCTCATGGCTGCAGCGTTTTGGGCAAAGTCGATGAAAACAGAGTTCAGTTGCTGAGGTGTTTTTTAATGAAATTACATGAACAGAAGCGATAACTATAAGCCAACCAAAACTCACATTAAAACACCCGAATCGTATTCAGAGGAAGGGGAGTGTGCGAAAATACAAAGTTAATCAATGAAGCAGAGCCGAAGAAAATCTATAATTTGTGTATTTTGTAAGGGTTTGTTATGTCGGTGTTGAATTATTTTGCATTCTGAATCTTGCTCAGTATGATGTTCCACTCTGCCTCTCCATGTTTCATAACAGCTTGTTCCTCGAGATAAAATGTTCAGACTCTCCTTACCACCACCTCTACCAACGAGAACAGAATCAAAAGGTAATACTCTTCTTTCTTTTTTTTTCTTGCGCTCAAGGTAAAAATTTAATAGATGAACACAATGTCAGGAACATGATGTGATACTTTAAGCAGAAGAGAGCACAACCATAACATTGTCCTTTTTTTCTTCAAAGTCAAAAGGTTTGCTTTTTGCCATCACAGTTTGCCATGCAAACGTTAGCTACTTAGCAGTCAACTAAGCAATTTTATTTGTCTGGAAGGGATTTTTATTTTTTGTTATAATAAAAAAAAGAAATTTGAAATGATGGTGGTACCTTAGAAATAATTTAGGATAAAAAAATTCCAGCTTTGAGATTGATTTTTTTTATCATAAACTTGTCTACCTGCTGTTTTGAAATATATTAAAGGATAAAAAAAGACTTCTGAAGCTTTTACAAAGGTCCAGACTCTCCTGATTCATATCATTACAAAAACGCAAAACCTATCTGCAGCATACTATAATTCTGCAACATCACTGCTGAACATAAAGACCTACCTGGTACATGTACTGATTCAACTCTTACCTGCTGCATACCTGTGTTCTTACTTAATGGCATTTTACATAGAAAGTCTACAGAAATTGAGCTGCAGCATTCACAGGGGCTTTAAATCTAGACATGCTCCTCCAAAGATGAAGTTTCTTCCCTCTGCTTTTATTGCTGACAAAGTTAACTACAACAGTCCTGCACTTTCTTGAAAATGAAAGGGAAGGACTTCAAATTTCAACACTTGAAACATTTTTAGGTGAGAGTCCTGTTCCACTCCAGCTTTAAACCTGTTAAAAGGAAGTTTTTCCTTGTCACTGTAATTTCCCAAATGTTGAAAAGTGCTCTGCTTATGATGGAAAGGACAAAAATAATCTTATCTTTTCTTGATGCTGGGTCTTTGTAAAATATTTAATCATAGACTAATGTCTAGTTTGTCTCTCATTTTGAAGCGTCTTAAGACAACTGTTGTAGACTAGTGTTGTATGAACAAAGATATGACATTAAGGCTGGGCGATAACATAATAACAATATATATAGAAAATTAATTTTCCTCAATATCAATATAAAACATGGTCGATATGCTTTTCATGCTTTTGAAAAAGCATGACACAAACGTTGGTGGTGTGAAGATATTTTGTTTTTTTGAGGTCGGACATGAAGCAGTGTAACATGCACTGCAATGAATACCTCAAATCTTTTTCACCACCTGAAGCAGAGCCATGCAGCAGAGCACGCACAATGCAAAAGTTTACAAACCCCGAGAGGAGCAAAGCGCCCATGGTGCCTGTGCAGCCGAAACAGCCGACCATTTAGTCTGCTTTCTCTAGCGCAACACCTCGTGACAAAATTTCGCAGAGACACAAAGACCTCATAAGCTGCGTTTCCATTACCCATAGATTTGCGCAAAACGTAAATATCGCAATAGAAAACTGGTAATGGAAACACCTACATTTCGAAAAACCTCCCAAATATCGCTAAAAAGTTTTTACGCTCTCATGAGGTGGTTTTTCAGAAGTGTCGATATAGAAGTATATCGCAAAAGTGTAATGGAAACACTTTTCTCGCAATTCTCTGTCACCGGACGTGACGTAGCGGGTCAAGTGACCAGTTCATTTCAAGCGTAGATGGCACGGTATATGTGGACGGGGGAGGAGACGGACTTATTTCTGACGTTTTGAATTGTATTTGTATTTTTCTGAAGTTTTGAATCCACAATTCGTCTGTGAATTCCTCATTAACGATCCTCTCCCAGAAATCGCTCATCCATGTTCGCTCCCATACATACGAGCTTTGCCTTTGAATTATCACCCGCTGCCTTCGTCTTCTGATGACAGCAGCGGCAACAGCAGTAATGGTCACAGAAATAGCTGCTCCAAAACGAAAAATGTTTTGTGTCTCGTCCATGTTGGTGTGCAAAAAGGCTTAAGGAATACGAGGTCGCACGGGCAGGAAGTTTACCTCGTTGCTAGGCAACGGCCATTTAAACACGGCTCGCGAGAGGCAGACGGCTCGCTTATGCACTGAACACCATTCAATGGAAACACCCGCAAATCGCAATTGTACTTTGTCGAAATTTGATAAAGATCGCTTTCATTTTGCGAAAAAATGTAATGGAAACGCAGCTACAGATTCAGTATCTTATTGTATTGCAAAAGACATGCTACCGATAAGCACTGTTTGATTTCATTTTTTTATATCGTGATATATATCGATGTCGACTGATATAAAAAAAATATATGGTGATAAACTCTTTCCCATACCGCTGGGCCCTATATGACATATGGCTAATTTAAATCTTATACCTACTGCGCACCTGGATTTTCTTATAATCCTAAATGTACCCATACACAGCTGTTGGAATATAAAACCTTGCATCTGTGACCCACCCTGATTTAGATTTATACATTTAGATCTGTATTTTGATTTGAGAAATGTCTGAGGCTCGCCGTTAGCACCCTCTTAGTTCACAGTGTTAGCTTACGTTTGCTGTTGTTCCATTAGCTGCTGTTAGCTAGCTGTGTTTTGTATTTATAGATATGTTCCATTTTGTTGCTAAGCTAGCAGCCAAGAGTCCGGTTGTAGTCAATATGGATCACAGATAGGCTGTGTGGTTGTTTAGGTTAACAATGAATTCATCATCAGTGAGTAGTTCTTATGATCTGGCTCATGGTTGAGAGTCTGCATATGGTAACCAGATGGTATGTGCAATTCTTGTGTTTGGCATCCTGTTTAGGTCAATCCTCTCTGTTAAGCTTGAGCATGCTGGGCGCAGGCTCCTTCGAAAATAAACCCGGCGCATATCTTTAGCAGAGATAGAGCTGAGACACGCTGCGGCGCTGCCTGTGAAACTGGAGCGTTGACAAGAACGAGCACGAATCAGCTGTGGAGTGTGCAGCGCTGGTGCAATTCGGTGGGTTTTAGGGGTATACTAAATCATCAAAGGATAGACAGTTGGGCAGGCTGTCTTTGACAAAGCTTAATTGTGCTAAAGGACAGCACAACCTGACGTCAGGTTGTGGCCATGTCTTGAAAGGACAACCAACAATGTTGCTATGTAAGGGTTAAAGTACGGATCGGCATGATGGGTCTCCCTTGATCCAAAAAAACCTGCTGCGGTCTTTTAAATCTAAACCTTCCCTGCTCCACATCATATCTCCAATTGGAAACCTACATAATGCACATCCTGATTTAAATCTAAGCCCTCTGGCTTTACTCACTGATATAGTGGTATTATTAGAGAATTTATGCTGCTTTCTGTCTTCTCATTTATTACCTTAAAGTATGCTTCCTCGTGTTATATGTTAATTAGCAAGCCAGGCTAAAGTCTCTACAGAGAGTATGAGGGCAGGCAGCCGAACACACACTCAAATAAACTCCTAATTAATTGTGTGTATGTCTCCACTAAAAACACACACACTGGGGCTGTACAGCAGGCTAATAACACTTGTTACATGTTGCACAGTAGCAGCACACCTGAGGCTTGTAAGAGGTATTTAACATTTCTTTGATGCAGAGGTGAAGTGAGGGCAAGCCGGACAACAACTTTGGACTGGTGAAATCCAATTATGAGAGGTGGAGGGGAGCTTCCTGCTGCTCTTCCCTGGAAAGGAGTTCATCTGTGGGGATGAGCCGTTGATTACCTGGCCACGGGACTGATTCCCAGACAGGAGGGAAAGTCTGTTAGGGATGTGGTAATCTTTTTCTGGTTGTAATAGGTAGATGAAAACAAGCAGGGGAAGATTTTCTGCCTAGCTGGTTTTGGTGTTTATATTTGTGTTGGGGTGTGTGTCCGTCTATCCAGTGTCTCTCATCAGTATGCTCGGGCCATGAGGCTACACTGACAGTGGGGGCTCTGAGAGCAGCAGCGCCATGAATTCTTTAGCATGAGCTAGCATGTACCCTCGCTTTTATCACGCCTGGGAGGATAAGTCCAGTCAACAGGAGACAAGGAGACACACATACAGTACGCGCGTACAAACACACACGCAAGCAGAAAACCTTCTTTTGGCGCATACATCCCTGCCTGCCAGCCTACTCTGAGCTAACTGAGGGTCCCTCTGGCCTACATGCAAACACAGTCTGCATTTAACCATCTCATCAGCACACTCAACACACTTCCTTCTGACTCACAGAAGAGGAGCCAAACATAACCACGTCCACACACACACACACACACACATACACACACACACTCACACACACACACACACACACACACACACACACACACACACACACACACATACACACACACACTCACACGGAAAAAATCTGAGGGAATTTTCAATCTCTTCTTCTCCCTTTCTCCCTCTGTCCGCCTGTGGAGAACACTGGCAGGAATCAGGGAGAAGAGCAGGGTTGCTAGGCGACAGGTTGTGGTTGCCATGGTGAATTTAAGTGGAACAGCTGGTCCAATCAGCATAAAGTGCGGGCCGGGCGGGGGCAGAGCCAGGGAGGCTCATGCCAACACAGACAGACAGGAAGTAGAGGCTGCTGAGGCATGCAGGATAGAGAGGAGGGAAGGAGAGGAGAGGAGATGTGATGGGAGAAAAGAGGAGAGGAAGAGAGAGAAAGGGGGAGAAACGAGGAGAGGAGGAGAGGGGAGGAGCTAAGGAAACAGGAGAGGAGGAGAGGAGAAGTAAAAGATGAGAGAATAAGAGAGAGAGAAAGAGAGGGGGTACAGGAGGGGAGAGGAGAGGTGAGAAGAGGACAGGGGAGGAGAGGAGAGATGAGGAAAGGAAAGGAGGAGACAGTAGAGGAGAGGACAGTGGAGTACAGTAGAGGAAAGACAAAACAAGGAAAGTAGAACAGCAGAGGATATGGGAGAGAAAAGGGGAGAAAAAGGGGTGAGGAAAAACAAGGGAAGGAAAGGTAGATGAGAAGAATATAGGGGAGCAAGGAAGATAGGAAAGAGGAGAGAAAGGAGGAGATAAAAGAGAGGAGGAAATGAAGGAGATGCAATCAGGAGAGAAGAGGAAGGAATGAAACGAGAGGACGAGAAGAGGAAAAAAGTAGGCTAATAAGTGAGACAGACAAATTGATAAGATGACTTAAAAAGGGAGACGAGGAAAGAGAAAGGCTTAAAAAAAGAGAGCTGGTCAAAGGTTTTATTGGCAGCAGAAACAGGATAAAAGAAGAAAATACGGCATTGTCCCAATCCCTTTTATTTGTTTATGCAGAAGTCGTTTCTCCCTTCATCAAACCGACCTGATTAAATACCTCTTACAAAGCCTCTTTTCACCTATAGCTGCCGTCAAACCCCGACAGGGAAAAAATTAAAAGGCACAACACAGACTGGATCACAAGAAAATAAGGCAGACACCATGACAGTTCGACGCAGCTAATGACAGCGTGGTGATAACATGGTGATAATGATAATGGGCTGGGAAAGTGTGTGGGCGTCAAGATTGGGAGGATTTCACAGTCACATCATCAGTTGTGTGTAATGGGGCGGTTTTAAACAAAAATCTCAGATGTGGTCGTGTTTAGTGTTAAAGTTTGCAGCCAAGTGAAATCAACAGCTGTGAGAGATGTTGGGGTGACAGTGGGACAAAGGTTGGATTTTAATGATGCAATCAACTGAGGACAACAGGGTGGTGTTAAAATCAGAGGTGAGAACGACCCCGTCCCCTCTTAAGTGTTTTTATCCCAATTAAAGTCATTGTATAATGGGTGATATATTGGTTTATTACCTTGCTTAGCTAAATACTTGTCTCTGATTGGTCAAACCTTGTCACAAAATTCATTATTTCTAAACAGTTAAAGCAACACAAGAGACAACATGTTCACACACATCATATCAAATCAATCAGCATACAGGAGTCTGGCACAATTCGCCTCTGTTGACACAAGCTGCATTTACATGGGCACAAATAATCAGAATAAATGCCCGATCAGAATAAAAATGCATCATGTAAACGAGTCGATCGGAAGATTCTGATCCAATTCGGCTCAATCTGAAAAAATTGTATCGAGAGGGGTGGTTTATGCCAATTGTTATTCTGAATCGCGTACATGTGAACATTTATTCCGATCGTAACTCTGACCGTAACTCTGACCGGACTCGATCGTCATTCTTTAGCATAAGACACAACCGCAGCTGCCATGTCTGCTCCTCCGATAAGCAACATATATATTATTTCGAAGGATGGTAGGGGAAAGTCCCGCCTCCTTCGCCTCTGATTGGCTAGAAAAGCTGGAAATGTCATCACAAGCTCAAGCCAAACTCGGGCTGTTGGCTCTGTACATCGAACAGAACATTACAGAAAATTATTGTGCTTCTGAATCTCCTAACCGTTACTCTAATCCTAATCCCAACCCTAATTTACCCTAACCCTAGCACTAACCTGACAGACGATGACGTTTCACAGCCATAAGGAATGACCAATCGGAGCCCATCACTTCTAGCCAATCAGAGGCAAAGGAGGACAGGACTGTCCCCTACTATCCAACAAAAAAAAAAAATCGCCTTCAGCAACATAACAAGGCGTACATCGTAATGATGTCACATCTGCACGTACAGTGCAACCTTTGACAGAACAGTAAGATAAGTACGCAAGGGCGCCATCTAGTGACAACATTTAAGAGGGGGAAAACTCCTATATTGGATGGAGCAAGCCACTTACGAGTTTGTTAGTTTGGCGGTAGCACAGGTGTGAATACAACTCTTCTTCTGCAGTTATTTAAGCAAAATCAGACAACTTTGCGAATGTCCAAATGCTTTTAATCTGAATAAAGCTTGGCGCATGTATATGCACATCATGATCGGATTATTTGACTTTGCACCCATATTAACAGTGGATTCAGATTATCCGATCACTCACCTTTTTAATCGGATCAAGAAATTTTGCCCATGCTACTGAGGCAGAAACATTTCCTTCAGTTCTGCTTTGGGAAACGTTCTGGCAAAAGTTTAAGTTTCCTTCTCTGGCCGGTCTTGACAGCCTGAAAACCAAGACCAAGTTTCCAGCTTCAGATGTAAGAGAGACCCGAGGAGCTTCTGGGCCCAAACCATCCCTGCTGATAAGGGGAAGGGGAGTAAGTCTGTCCTGCAGAAATAGAGAGCACATTTCTGAGTTGCCTATAACCACAAAGTAACTTTCACTGCGAGCAGCATGATAGTAGCAACAGTGTTGAAAAATGTGACATTAACAGTATTGATGTTTGAAAATGATGAGTCACCTCCAAGTCCTGAGAGGGGAGGCTGAACTGGAAAGGCTGCTTATTTCCTGCAGGAGTCCCTTTCACCAAACAGATAATTACCTTCAGCTTTTAAAACAGATAATTATTCAATCAGTAAAATCAGCTCGAAATTAATATTTTGTGTTAGTTAGTCAAGTCGAGTTGACAGGTGGTTATTCAAATTGCATAGACTCTTATCACCCTGTTGAGATTCCAATTTGTCTAACCATTCTTGTACTATACATTATCCTCTCTATGTGCTCACAGATGTCATTATTTTCTGTTTGCTCTCAAACTGTCGATAAGAGTGACATAATTAACACAGAAAATAAGCTAAAATGACTATTAACTTAAATATACACAAACGAGTCTTATAACTGCCCTGAAAGTTAAACTACATATCAGTCTGACCTGACAGGTGCTCCCCAGAGTCAGTTATTTCTGATTTTGCTTATCAGCTGAGTGTTCAGGAAGAGGTCCGTTTCCAGGTTCACCGCTGGACAGCACTGCCTGCTGACTGATACTATATCAGTTATTGGTTTTTACACTATCTCAGGCTGCTTCTGAGATTGAACCCTGCAAAGATACGCATGCACACACGCGCAGTAACACACATGCACACTCTCAAACACACAGAAAACAAGATACAGAATTTAGGGTTTGCTCGTTTTGATGACAGGGCAGATACATTGATTCACAGTGGTTCACATGCAGACGACTTTGCAATCTGTCCATTGATTAAATGAAGAAATCTTAGCTTTCCCCCTTTGATCAGAATCGCACCTGCATATAGAGTACGCAAAAAAGCAGCGCATTGCTATATCTAGTTCTGCACATATTTAGGTAGGTGTAGGCTTCATGCATGGGGGACACGCACGTCTTCTCCAAAGAGGACACACTCTCAGAGTATCTCGCATGAGTGGGCACAGAGGGGAGCGAGATGAATCCAGGCTGCTGCTGTAAACCATCATGGCAGCCACTTATTCTGCTCACAGCAAAATTATGTTGCTGCTACGGTCGTCAAATGTTCAAGATATCCCCTCCAAGAATGAGAATTAGGAGGGAAAAGATCATCTCAGCACATCTTTGAGTCTTTAAATATGTATTTTCATACATTTCCAGGTTAATGGTTCATATTTTTTTCTAGGTGGAGAAAGCATGAGCGAGATGAAGAGTGGTAAACTGACTGGATGAATAGAAAATGTGTTTGAGCTCGTCCAGCTCACAAGATGTCCATTCACACAAAGCTCTCACTCTGTCACACCTTCCTCCTGTCACTCACACAAAGCATGCTGGGAGGCATGGTTTCCAGGGCAACCAAGAGGCACCTTTTCCTTGACGACGGTTCAGAATGCGGCGATGGGAGGACATTAGCTTGCACCTCAGGTGTGGCAAATATTGGCGCCTATAGCTCGACCAGGAGCAGAACAAAGCGGCCGTGACCACTTTGACAGAGAAGAGAAACAGAATTTGATTTAAAAAAAGCAGCGAGGAAACACAACTGAATCAAATGACAGCGGAGTTCACATGTGCAAGGACCAGCAGATGATGTGAGAACTGGCACAACTGAAGAGCAATTGTTCCTGAATGAACTTTGTAGTTTCTGGTTTTGCAGCTAGTTAGGAGCCTCTGGAGCCTGCTGTGACAGAGGACCCACTGGGAGAGGAAACAGCACTCTGGGTATCTCCTCTCTGTGATAAATGAACTAAGCTGCTTCACACTTATAGTGTGAATTAAAATTTCACACACACATACTCCCTCAAAAGACCCTCACACACTGTCCTAAATATGCAATAACACACTCCTGAAAACCCCTCAAGGCTCTAAAATACATCTTCAAAGAAACCCTCAATCTGCTTAACACATTTTACACACACACACACACTCAAGCATGGCTATAACTGCACACACACGTGCACAAAAGAACACATTCAGACCCAGAGCACACAGATCATTGCAAGAAACGGGCAGACTCTGTGATATCGTGTTGCTTTCAGTGAAGGCCAAACCCATGAAATTCATAAAGAGGAGACAGAAGCAGAGATGGGTGTGTCGTGGGCACGCAAAACACACCGGGTACACGGTGAAGACAACACACACACACCTCAAGAAAAACACACAAGCAAAAGGAAAGCAAGAGGGAGAAGAAAATGGGAGCGTGGTGTCCTTAGGTGTGTGTGTGTGTTTGTGCAAAAAAGGAGACTGAGTGCATAGAGAATTGAGTGCAGTTAGTAGTGTTTCCCCCTCGGCTGAGGCATTAACAAGCCTATAATGGACCCTCTTAAAAAGCCGACTAGGATCTCCTCCAAAACTAACTGATTTAGAGTGGCCAGGGCCCCCGTGGGCAGTGGCCAAGTTCCCCCTCTGTCCCTCCCCAGCACAGCCACAGCCAGCCCCGGTGGCAGGCGGCACAGACACACATTGTGTTTGTCTACTGAACCACAAGCAATAGCAGTTTATAACACAATAAAACACCATGAGGAGGCATTAATTGGATATAATAGCCAGGGAATGATTTAGATGATTTAACACCTTTTTTCCAAGACGAGTGCATAAAAGAGAGAGAAAGAGGAAGAAAGGGGAATTAGAAATGGACTTACACACTGTTTCTGACTTTGATTACAAATGTTAGCCTCATTTGAGTCCACACACACAAAACATAAATGCAGGTTTGAAGACACACAGGATATATTGCATTGCTGTATCCTGCTTGTAAAGTCAACTACAATCATCATTAGACTTATATGTATGTACGCTTTTGTGACATAAAGTCGCTGCAGAAGAAAATCCAGAAATAATCCAAGTGTACGCCTCACATTTCCTGTATTTTGTTAACCCCCCTCAAACTGGTGACAGTAATCAGGCCATCCCAGATAAAGCTGATGCTTATAAGATATGACAGGCTAGCTAGTAGAAAAAAACGCACCCACACGACCTCTCTATCATTAATCAATGTTTCAAAGGCGGTGTTTTATTGACAATATAACCATCAGGAAAATAACAGACTCCAGTTTCTTGCAGCAAATTATCCTCAAGTCCCGCTTGCAAAACCGTCAAGATATTCTGTCACCTTATCTCTCCTCACCTCCCCGTCTTTTCTCTCCACGCCCGAGCTGAAAGGGAGCAGGGCCTTGCATGTATGTACATAATTGGCACTTTACTGTCATATCAAATTCATATCAGCTCAGGGTCCTGGGCTAGGAGGAACAATGAGGGCCAGAGACAAAAGCGTGGCTCCCGTGCTCTGAGAGTCGGCCCTGATAACCGCAGCATAGGCCGGTCAATAAAACCAATCATCTCTAATCTTCTTATGGGGGACTAAACAGTTCCCCCAGATACTTCCAAATGCCCACTAGACACAATGTGCAACCACACTATACCAATATACAGACTGTAGCGACGGGAGGAAAACAATATCTGAACCATAACCTTTGTGCACGGTCTCATCAACCTTATGTCCCGATACATAATTATTCTCTAGACATACAAAGTATTTCAAAATATGAAATAGAGGTTTCAAGATTTAAAGCAACATCTTTATAAAGGATGTCTGTTTAATATTGGGTGAGACATGGGGATATTTTGAAGATGCTGGTTGGATGTAAAAGAAATAAATGAGTTTTAAACTTCTGTGGTGTTTTGCATTGTGTGAGTGTTAAAGAGACTTTATGACCATGAATTACCCTCCTTGAAAAGCAGAAGTGTCCCCACATTTTCTGCAGGCTCTCACTGCTGCACCGGGTCACACTGATGAAGAGAATTGGAAAGGAACACGTTTATCTCTTGGGTTTGGCTCCTTCAAATAAAAATAAAAACACACACACACACAAACACACACACAACAGAGATGATTAAAGGTCATCATCCTCACCTTTCAGCATTTAGCTTCCACCACCTCACCCCGAAACAACCCTCTGATTTTCAGCTTTGCGGCAATTGTTAAATTTCTGTAATTGTGACCTACATTCGCACACGGATGGACACTGTTCCAAACAATATAAAAAATTGTTGTTGGATTTGGTCACACTTCTTTGCATTTCCAAAATACTTCTCTTCCATCAGTCTGTCAGTGGAGACTCACATACAGCTGTATGCAAAACCTCTCTGATGCTCCAACGCCCAAAAAACCTCTCGACTGGGGCCTACCCAATCTGCGAAAAAGTGTGGGGGATGGGAAAGGTCAGGGGGGTTGAAGCTATATGGATGGTGCAGCTTAATCACTCCCAATTCATTTTTTAAAGAGGAAATATGTGATTTAATAGATCCAGGAAAGGAGGAAATTTATGACAGCTAAAGAAAATGTCACAACTTTCCAATAAAATGATAAATCTGTGTACCAGAAAGCACTTCTCTTATTCTGTCAATATTCTATACATGCCTGGAGGATAACACACCTTCCCTCCATTTTTCTGTCTTTCTCAATCTTCCTCTCTCTCTCTCTCTCTCTCTCCCCCTCTCTTTCTCTCTCCGTCCTTCTCTCTCTAATGATGTTTGGCTGAGTCGCGGGTTAATTGCAGGGTTAACTGATGGCGTCGAGGAGCAGTGTGCTGAGAGTATGAGACGAAAGCCAGGTTTAGTCACAGTGTGTGGATGAAAAAAAAAAAAAAAAGCTCTGCATAAGTTTATCAAATTCCTACAAGTCTGTTTACAGTTTGTGTGTGTGTGTCTGTGTGTGTGTGACAGAGCCAGAAAGGAGAAAAAGAAGAACTTTGTGTGTCATTGTGCTTCTCCACAAGCACTTATAAAACAGCATCAGCTGGGCATGAATGAGCATCAGTAAGAGCAACGCTTTGAAAGGAGGTTAAACGTGTGTGCCTTTGTTTTCATGTGAACAGCTGACATGCAGGATTTGTGTAAAACTCACCTCAGCAGCAGAGTCACCTCTGCTCTCTGGGCAGAAAAAACTGTCTTTGCTGCCAATGTGTTCCACTCATTGGAATTTGACTTGTTTTGAAGCAGCAGCACTGTAATGAATATCTATAAAGGCGGTTAATAATCCCGCTTATTCAGTTTTTCCTGTTTCCTCTGCAGCCCTCTGACTGCTCACAGTCTGGAGAACATGACCGAGGAGCAGATTCAGTAATGTACAGACTAATGATAACAGGAATGAAACACTTCTCTGACCCTGTGAGCATACAGACATGCAGTAAAACACACACCCAGGTCTGCAGGTTCAATCTGTGTCACTGCTTTACAAACCCAAGAAGATTAGCCAAGAAGATATCAGCAACGGCAGTCCGATCTTGATCTTAATCTATTATAAAGCAATCTTAGGAAATATTGATTTGTTTACACACACACGCGCATTTATATATGATATAATGCAGATTTAAATGTCTAAAGACAACAAACACACTTAAGAGTAAGTCCAGAGGCGATCAAATATTCAACAGCCTCTTTAAAATGACAATAAATAAACAGGATAGAGGGGATAATGATGCTTCTCCACTTTCTGTGTCACAAGCAGATCAATGCAAACAGCTCATGACATTTATCAGACAGAGTCAAGGACCTCCGCATCAGCACTGACGCTCACCTCACCGCTCAAGTGGCTCTACGTTATTGATATGGAGTCCACAAAGCAAAGGACAACTGTAATTCAGTCATCTATGGACACAAACAAACGGGTAATGGACAGAGATTGTGCGTTTGTGTGTGTTTGTGTGTGTTTGTGTGTGTGTGAAATAATTATTCCAGGAGGCATGCCTTTGTGTTGACAACCTGTCAGTGGGTGTATATGTGTGTGTGCGTGTGGACAAGCCATTGTTAAGAAACTCACGTGACAGTCCATCTCTTGACCATGTCAGAGCAATTTTTCTTATTGTAAAATGACGCAGCTACAACCGGGATGTCAGGATTGATTTGGTTTTCGTGGCCAAAATTCAGTGGACAGATATTCTTGAGCATGCGTGTATTACTTTATAAAGTTTAACATCTAACACACACACACAACTGCCTTCACTGTTTTAACTTTCCTTAAATTTTATTTGATGATATTTGTGTGGAACATTATTTTTCTGTAAGATTTCCTGCAAGTAATTTGAAATATATTAAATGTAAAAGCTAAAATTTCTAATGGAATTAAATAAAATATGTGGAATTATATTAAGAGGTTTGATTGTCTTCTCAAAGAGCAGATCTTAACTAATTTAAAAGAGTCATATTTGGTTTTCAATTATTTTATTTTCATTACACCAAGGATAAAACAGTCTTAACTGCACTGTAGAATAAGTAAGTTGCCTGAATTTTATTACCTGTTATCAGCTTTTATCATATTTCATAGCAGGTGTGTCTTAAATTTAACTGATAAAAGGAGATTGTAATAGATAAATCTCATTATATTACAATTATTTTAGGAGAACAGAAAAAGATAGGAAAAAATAAATTTTCAAAAATAGAAAATCTGAAGTTTGAGTTGATTTTTCTGCATCGGTGTCAGCTTACCTGTCACCACATGGACCACATTGCCTTTACTGTAGCTCTAAAAATAAGTAAAGTCAATCCTGAGGGCAGGTGTACCACTTCATATCCAAAGTACAGTCAAGTTTTCCACAAACTCCCAACATCCAACTTCTCTGTCCCTCTGCCTGAGTGTGTACAGGAGTTGTTAATAGCAATGTTTAATATAGGCTGCTGTTTGTTATATCTTGCCATATATTACCATTTCTCCTTGGAGGGGCCCCTTGCATTCAAATCAGCGGCCGGCTGCCTGATCGTAGAGGACAGCTTACTAGGCCCCTTGAATTGTTCACTGGGAACAATGGATTCCTTTGTCAACGTGTTTCTCTTTCTCTCCCTGGACAATACTGGAGGGTCCTTCTGGCTCTCTGCACTTAAGAAATGTTTGCAAAATTACACCTCTTTATATGCCTCTCAAAACAAGTAGCTCTGCCAGTATAAAAGTGTGGGAGGTTTTAGGAAGAAAATGCACCGGAGATTCGTTTCTTTTCTTTTTGATAAACTTTAGTCAGTGTTTTGAAGGAAATTTCCTGCGACTCAGAATAGCTCACCAACACGTTTTTTTTTTTCTTCTTTTGGAGACCGTCACTCATTGGAAATATTAGTCTGTTTGACTTTGAATAAAGCTAAAAAAAAAATAAAGGAAGTAACTGAGCACAGAGATAAAAAATGATATTTAACAAAGAGCAAGAAAGGGGGAACAACTTATTAAAAATCTGTTTTCTAAAATATTAATATGAGAAATAAAATTAGTATCATCAAGAAGTTTGAAATTTTTAAATTAAGGTATCACTCCCATCAGAAATATCTCTAATCACCAGGTGGAAACGTTTTGTCCACTCTCCTTGTTGTGTTAGAGGTGAATTATGTTATGAACTACAAAGTGTGTGACTGCATAACGAGCTGATGGTGCGGAGCTGCAGCGGGCCGCAGCGCTGACCTCGCCTCCTCCTCCTCCTTCTCCTCTACCTCCTCCTCCTCCTCCTCCTCATCTTCATGAATAGGCCCATAAGCAGAAGCCCAGCTGTGCCTATTCGGGCCTTCAACAGCATTTCGGAAATCGGTATGATTTCCCTGGGAAAGTTGCCTCTCCAAGCCAGGTTTCCAACACTGTCCACTATTTTACGCCGAATATGTGCTTCAGTTATTAAAACTTGTTACCATCTTTATGACTTTGACCACTTTTATATATTATTATCCTTGATATTAAAGTATTTTTAAAAATCTGAGGCACATTTGGAAGTGGTCTGTAACTAAGCTTATATGATCGATTAGGCTTTGAACCATTAATTCAGAAAGTTGGATTTACGCACAGACGAACATGCGGAGCCAAACTGGTGTGTTTGCGTGTGTTCAGAGCAGCATCACGCTCACAGAACTGCATCTAAAATATAAACATTATTTTAAAGCATATTCATTTTTTTCCAGCTGTTTTTGGAGGCTGTATATCTTAATATCTCCAAATTGTAGCTCTATGTTGTTATATGGCGCACATTAACCTATAGCAAATGCCTACTGGTTTAAACACCCTATAGGCTACATTCGCATCAATAAATCTCGAAAGTGTTCCTGCCCAAAATGTACTAGTTGATTATTTTAAATCTATATAAAATATTGCACAATTCTGGAAAGAGCGTGGTCCTGCAGCTTGCCTTTTTACGCGCGCTCTCGCTTCTTATTTTACGCAGCTGTTTGCGCCAACTTTGCGTCTCACTGGACGTTTGTGGCGCGTTCACTGGCACACTGCGTTGAAAATAAACAGTGTTGCATAACCTGATTCTCGCCCGTGTTTTGAAACAGTCAACCAAGTTATACCCGCTGTTGGTGTTATTATAAACAACGCACATATTTATTTTGGATCGCCTGTAGTTGACAGCTCCAAATGAAGCTCCACCGCGGCACGTTCTCTAGTGTGATTCAAACGCACTGAAGTATTTTCCCAGCGTACCTCAAAAGTCCAGGGGCCGCAGCTCGCACAACTGGGGCCGACTCTCTTCTCTCCTTTGTTGGGGCTATTGTGGGGGGCTGCGTGTTAGGATTGGGGGTGTAATGAGGGGGCTGCGACCCCCCGATGGGGGTGCATTTGCTGTCCAAAGACCGTTAGACAGTGGCTGAATGAATGGGGCCTGAATGTCATTGTAATGCACAGGGACAACTCCCCCTTCATTCAGCTTAAGATGTGGAGGCCGCTCTGCTCTGCACGGGGAGAGATGTGGGGAGAAAAAAAAAGCTGCTGCAATTCAATTCACGATCTGGAATCTCTCTAAACTTCCTCGTGCATGTGGAGGAGAGACGGAGGCTGTTTTTCCACTCAGTGTTACAGGCGTTATGCTGCTGCGTTTGCGTGCGTTTTCTCAACACATGAAGGGCCTGCACAAAATGGAGAGAGGATGCAATGGAGCCTTGGTATGGTGCATGGAGGAATCAACGACGAGAGAAAGACTCTGAACAAAGGATTGTGAGTCCAAGCCAGCGTGGATTTAACAGTATAGGCGATATGCGGACAGAGGAGGATTCTACTTCTGCAGGCTGGGTTATTTCATATTCCTCGTGTTGGCGTAAAAGAGAATCCGTAAGGCTAACAAATGACTTGCATTAGTGATTAACCTGCCTTAATGTAAATGCAGGGGCTCGTTTTGAGATGCAGATTGCGAGGGAGGTTGAGATGAGACTAAATGTATGCCCATTAAAATAGCTAATAATTACATTTGTGTGAAAAAGGGCACATTTGCGATTGTATAGGCTCCGTTATGGGGAGTAAAAGAGAAGCGGTTTCATCCTAAACAGCGCTGACGGTTCCTCCTCTCCCTCTCTTTGTTCAGCCAACAGTGGGAGGTAGACACACTACGGAAGGAGGTAGAAACATTTGAAAATCCAATGACATTTTCTTCCGGGACAGAAATCAATATATGCTTCAGGATTTTTGTTAGAACAAGGCTAAAATGTATGATAGATTTATAGTATTGTTATCAAAACAATTCTGTTTAAGGGGAGAAATATGAGGCAGAAATTTTGATAATGAGCTGAAACTGCAGGTGCACATGTGGATACAAAACATTCAAAATATGGGGAGAGAAAAAAATAGGTCAGGTGAATATAGTCACTATTGAGTCAAAATAAGAATGCTTTTTAAAGGAATTGGTCTCTATCCTTGACATGAAAGTAGTGACCAAAATACCTGATTTGTGAGTTTACCAAAGAGAAGCACAGGAATGTTTTTGGAAGAGCTGATGAGTATATTTTTTCTAATATAGGTCACAACGTCAAACAACTTGTCAAGTCAAGCTCTCAGATATTTGTGGCCCACTATCAAAGCCTACAGGAAGACTATAATCATAAAAAACAACTGATGTAAGCCTGAAGAGTTTAGAAAATGTCCTCCAATACAATGCTAGCAATTGTGCAAACTTTAAATCTTAGTGTTAGGCTTATTTTACATGTGCAAATTTAGTTAAAAGTGACCTGTTTTGTATCTTGACTTTAAAACGCAAAATTGTTGATGTTGAGCGTTGGGGTAGCATGTGGTTTTAGCCATGTGGGAGCTCAGGCTGCAGGCCTTACAAGGCACTGTAAAGACAGTCTCTGAGATGAATCTGAAACATCTGGAAGGATAGGGTTCCGTTATAGTGTTTACAAAAAAATATTGGCTCCTAACAGGAAATGTTAGCTCTCTGTGGGCCTCTGCGCAACCGGAATATGCGCAATGGTTAACACATTAGGGGGCTAAAATTCCAGGGTTAGATTTCATCCACTCTTTGGTTGTCATTGCATCTTAAATAGTTTTAAATGTAAGGCCAGATAGCATGAAGATATATCGGACGTTTATGTCTCTATTTGTTCCTTTTCTTAGAAACTGGGTCTGATCAAAATGATCACACAGTGCAGCTCACAGTTGAAGCTATCCATCTCTTTCCAAATGCCTGCAGCTTGGTAGCATCAGTGAGTACCGGGACATGCACCTGCTAAGGGGGAAAAACCGCCAAGGTGCTGCAGTTCAGGTGCACACACTGTCCGCCGGTTGTTGTGGCTCTTTCCTATGGAAATGTCAACCACCGGCTGTGACTATATTTTCACCAACTGTATGTCTGCTCCGATGCATGCATACATGACGCGCTGCAGAAAGTCAGACCGGTGGTTTCAAGGACATTTGGGGCTGATGAGGATTTGGTTTTAATGGGGGGAGGTGAGGAAGAGAGAGGGGAGGGAGGGAGGGAGGGAGGGGGTTTGGGCCCCGGGCCATGACGTCATTGTGCGCCCATGTAATCCTCTTGCGCCGAAGCCCAATCAGCAGAGACTCGCAATTGTCTAGGTTGGGAAGAGAGGGGCGCTCTAATCCGGGAGACAGTGGATCACACAGCCCGAGAGAGGGAGAGAGAGAGAGGAGCGAAAGAGGGGAGGGGAGGGGAAGGGGGGGCATGCATCCACGGCTGGATTGTGCCTGAAATGGGTCAGATTAAAAAGACACGAAGCAAAAGGAACCGGCTGACTCTTGGTGAAGAGAGGACCTTTCTAAAGACGAAGAAGCCCTTTTTTTTCCCGCACTTAAAACACGAGAGATTTAGCCGTCCGCCTGCACGAGCTTTAGGGACACGCTAGAGAGTTCTGTGGCGCTTAGAAGAACCGCTTCCCTCCAGTTATACAGTAGCCATATGTAAAGTAGCCATCTGTAGTTTCTGTGCTGCATGACAAGTGAGAGGAAGCATCGCGCGTTTTGTCCGAGGGCGTTGATCGTGGACGAATCGGGGAACTGCATTCAAGCCAAGTTAAATGGAGAATACAGCACTCTTCACAGTGGGATGTATGACTTCAAACAAATAGCCTTGTGACGCGCTGCCATTGTTGCTCTCTTTCTTGTTTTCACTGCTGTCTTTTGTGCTTTTGGTCAGGTTGATGTTGTAAGAAGTGAGTGGTTTGAAGACAGGACAAAGCGACGAGCTTGGATAGGCTCAGCTGTCATTCTTTGCGAGGTAATCTGCCTGGGGGATGCGTAAAGACGCACAGAAATAGACTAGGAGAGTGTGAGTAGTGATGGTTAGAATGTGCGAGCTTTTTTGCTTTGCATCGTTTGACTGTGGGCTGTGTGCTGGCAGGGTTTGAAGCTGAGCTGTGGCGCAGTGATATCAATATTTCTATAGAGACGCAGGGGAGGAATGTGGCCGCGTGCGTTATTGCTGCTGTATGCTATAAATCGGCTTTAGATTTGACTGTCTGGATGCATGTGTGTTGAGTGTGTTGCAAAATCGGCTTTAGATTTGTTCTCGTGTGTATGTGTGTGTGACTGTATTCGTGCGTGTACGGCCGAGCGCGCGCACGGGAAAACGGGAGCTGTGCTTAAATCGCAGTCATGCAGTCTTGCATCCTCCTTGGCGGCAGCTGCTGGAGGTTTTGAGCGCGTGGGAGTCAGTCAGGGTGAGAAGGTGCCGGCTTGGCTTCATTGTGCACCCGTGAGCAGGGGGTGAGAGGGAGACTTTCTCGAAGGGTTGTCACTCTGCGTGTTCACAGCGGACCTTGATTTAATGTCCATACAATTAAGGCACGCGGTGAATGCCAAGAGAGGAATCTGCATAGCATCATGCTTCACATTTTTTACCTCCTCATTGTCTCATCAGGCCACGTGCTCCACTTTTGACTGCTTTGACCCTAAATGTATCGCAACAGGCCCCTGGCTGGAGCTGGCTGCTGTACTGTCACTCACCTGCGCGTGAGTGTGTGTGTATGTGTGCGTGCATGCATGCGCAAGGATGTGAACGCGTGCCTGTGTGTGTGTGTGTATGTGTTTGTGTGTGTGCGTGTGCATGATGCTTTGACAGGGTGAGCGCAATGCGTACTTTAATTTGCAATTACAGCACGAAATGATGGCACCGCGAGTTATCGTGAACATCTCCTGAAGGATCCAGAAGGTTGGTTTGATGCGGGTTTTAGATGGCGGTTTTTGTCTGACTTCTTTTAAACCGCGTGACAATCCTCGCGCACAACACGACGCAGAAAACAATTGGATTTTCGCCAAGCGGGGTCAATGCCCTATTTCTACGTTTAGCCCAGAAAATGACCCGGAATAATGGAAATTGATGCTCTTTTAAAAATTGTAATCTTTCATTTCTAATGTAGGACCAGGCGGGAGGGTTTGCTTCCTCCAAATGCGCATTCGTACCTCTTAAAACCAAATCACAATTAATTGATTGGAAAGAAGATAGATATTTTGAAAACTGAGGTGCTGACCCAAATAAACATATACAAATGATTGATTTTCAAATTTGGATTATTGACTAAAACGCGGCACAACTCAAAGCATCATCCGATACAAGGGCCGTACACCCAAACAGCCAAGCGGTGCGTAAAATGTTGGGAATATCTACTGCTGTTAGTGTATTCATGCTGCTATGTATCCGTGGGAGCCTGAATGGATGTCATTCTACTTTCTCACTGTCCAAATTTGACAGTCCAACGATTTTCACATAATGTTCCAGAGATTCAGCGGGTTACAGTCTCTGCTTCGTTTCAAAATAGTCTTTAATGAATTATTTCACATGCAAAAACTAGGCCAGCAGTTCCAGCCCACCACACCTTCTGTAGGCCTGTGTGTGTGTTTGTCAGAGCTACAGCAGAGGGCTGAGCTGCCTAAAGGGACACAAACTGACGGCGGCTGCAGTGTTTAGTGTGATGAAGTCAACTTATGGAAACTTAAGTGATTCAATGCCACCTACAGGCTTCCTTAGGACAACGCATGGGTAGAGCTGTAGCCAAGTGAAGGCCACGGTACCTCATCCTTTCACGCTTAAATTTACTCCAAACTCATCCGCACTTACTGCTTTTTATGAACGTTTAACTCATGCGTAATCTAGCAAGGAATCTGTTTTAGATTGTACTGAAAGGTGTATGATTTAAAAGACAAGCTTCAACGCGCCATTACGGTACCAAACCAAAAACGGGATTTTTGAGAAGCAAACTGAACATTCTGGTTCAAATAGGCTATAGACATTATATTTTTTACATAAGACAGATGTATCAGAGACATATTTGGAAAACGAAACACCTTTTTAAATACATTTCCCTATACCAGGTCAAATTAAGTCTTTTTAAAATGGTTTCTTTTACTGTGAAATTGTTCTTTTGTTTTTTCTTTTTTCAGTTTGATGGATTCGTTGAAATGTTACCAAAAATAAAGCCTGTGCTGCACCGAGTTTTCCTGCTTTTCTTTGTGATTATTTCATGTGGAAATGTACATTGCCCTTGTACCGACTTCAGACCTCGTCAAGTGTATTGTAAAGGAGAGAAAAAACAACAAAGTGGATGAATTTAAAATCTACCTGGTTACGAATTTGACCAGAAAGACACTCTCGGTTATGTAGGATAAAATGGATTGACGTTTGAGAATCATACCTCTAAGAAAACCTTAACCACCATGTCCTGCTCCATGCTTCAATTCCAGGTAATGTTCTGAATGTGCCACTCTGTGGTTTTCAACATCCCCTCAGCTGTTCCTTCTAATCAGGACATCAGCACCATGGAGAGCTCCTGTGAAGGAAAAGGGGGAAAAAAAAAAAAAAGATCTGACTAGAACAGCACGTGCACAAGACATCTCAAGACACAGACGTGGATTAACCAAAAACAAAAAATAAAAATGTGTAAAAGCTGAAGTTAGAAAATCAATTTGAAAAATGAGTCAATTTGTGATCGGATGAATTTAACAAAATACCCTATGATTTTTTCTCCTCCTGTTTCAGCATTGCATCAACTTCAGTTGTAGACCACTTGGACCTGTGAAAACATGTCTGCTTTGTTTCAGGGCACCGGAGTCGTAAAAAAATACAAATTGAAATGGTGACATTTAGGCGCCCTGCACAGCTTCCTTCCTTTAACTAACACCACTGGAAGAAACCGTCAGAAAAATACATGAGATCAAGACAAAGTTATTTCTGAATGGGTAGTTTATTAAGGCTTGATTTCTTCTATAAAGAATAACCCAGATAAATCTTTTGAACAAGTCAGGCCCACTACTGCTGCAGTCTAAAAGATAATCAATGTCTAATATATCATGTCAATAATCCTTTTTGTAGAGTAGATACATACACTTTCATGGCTAACCTGACATCGCTCTATTGCAACATACATTGTCTGATGGTTATTGACGTGCACATAAAGCCCTATTCTGTGATCGCAACCAGCTCGTGCTTCCTGAGGCAAAGACAGCTCTTCTTTTGTGGCATCCTGTAGCTTCTCACCTTCCCTTGACTCTACAATGGTCTGAGAGAGTGGCATCAGTGAAGGCAATCATGTGAAGGACCTTCAGCATATTGCTTGGATCGACCTAGCTATAGATTAGTGCAGGTAAAAAGAAAAAAAAAGAAAGAAAGAAATAGAGACGGGGAAGAGAGGATACTGTTAGAGGTCATTTCTCTGGGTTACAGGGGGATACACTGACCATAGGAAATAACATGATGCAGCTCCACACGTCAGGGACCATGATCGTGAAGCGTGCGATCATACTCACTCAAGTGACCTCAGCAAAGTGCAGTACTTCTGCCATCTCAGCAGAGTAAAGTTCAGACAAAATCAAATCATGACAAACATACGAACATGATCTGAAAACAGCTTGAAGAAAAAAAAAGCTCAGGCCACATTATATTCAGCCTTCAGAAACTGTCACAAAAATCGTGAGTCGGGGGGTCTAAATATTCGGGAACGTAATGGTTACATAGATACACAAAAACGCCGAAAAGAATCCACTGCTTTACATAGACAGCCACGTCCGTTTGCAGCTTTATAGCCATTCTCGACATCATGGTTACCTCACACTTCACAAAATACTTGAACAGTTTTCTAATCAGACGGAGAAGACCTACTTCTCTGAACACGCTCAGGAACAAAAACACCTGCATTCTGGCTTTGAAGACAAGCTGGATAACAGAGTTAACACTCCCAGCAGACTCTCTATACTGTATCCTGTCACGCACGGCCACACACATCTGCGAGTGACTGTTTTTAATACCCAAGCTTTTTAGTCGTTCACATACCTGAAGGTACTTCACTGAATCGTAACCAATGTTTCAGTCTAGATCAAACTATGTTTGCAACAACAACCAAAAAACACACAGAAACCACATTTCATTCTTAGCTTTTTTCTTACTCGATAGTAAATCAGTTACATTAATTTTTAGGTTATACATTTTTAGGCTTTCTCCATGAATATATAGGCTCCTACGTTAAAGCTTAGCATTACGACCAACATGACAAGACTTAGCAAAACCAAATTTAAGGAAAACAAGAAACAAGAGGATTAAGACAGGATGATGGTGAATGGACAGAAACGTGAAGCCTCCCCCCTTTTCTGTGGAGCGAAAAAGCAAAAGCAACGATTCATTCAATGTAGTAGTTACATCATTACATATTTTGATTATAAAACAATTTTAAAATGTTTGGATGCGACAATTCTCTCAGACTGGGTTGCATACACAAGCAGAATCTCCTGATGAAACATACAAAAGACCCCTTCAAGACAGACATCAAAAGAAAGCAAAGCAGAGGGGTGTGAAGGATGTCAATAGTACAATTTTTGACTTATAATGGTGAGAGTTCTGGCTGTGGAGGACACATCCGTTATTTCTTTCCCAGAGGCCTTTGCATTTCCTCCTCAGAAATGTCTCGAGTCCCGTGTGACTTCACACTATCCCTGATTTCTCCAGCAGTGTCACTGTTTGAGCAGTTCTTTTGAGTCACCAATAATTAGAAAAAAGAAAAAAAAAACATTAAGGCTCCAGAAAACAGGTTTCTGAAATGAAAATTGTCAGTAGTAAGCCAAAAAATAGAGATTTTGTCGATCTGAATGAAAAATAGATAAACCAGTGAAGTTTTATTATCGCACAGCTCCAAGTCCGACATTGCCTTTGGGATCCTCCAACCCTGTTGGCACAGTTAAACCTCTGAAGCATGGCAATGTTGCCCCCAAATGGACAAACAGGGGCAGAACACATCTGTTCCTGATTGTACTGAAATATAAAGTGGCAGATTTTTTCTCCATGGTGCAGTCAAACCCTGATTCGATTGTAAATAGGTGGGGGGCAGGGGGGGCAGGAGAGAGGAAACTAGTCTTGTGAGAGAAGTGTACAAGATGGAACGGGAAGAAGATTATCTAAAAAAGAAAAAAAAAAAAAAAAAAAAGACCCCGAACTAAAGAGTGTGGTGGCATCTAGGTAATACATGAAATCAGCTTGTTATCCCTGCACAAGAAGTGGGTGGTACATGGGGCATAAAAAGCACAAGTCTCGACAATGGCAGAGATTCACCAGGATTAAATAGAAAAAAATGAAGGGCTTGGTTGCATTTTCATATTCTTCTGTCTTTTAAATCAAAAGTCCTAGTGTAACTGTTGATCAAGCCAAGGATAAATGTCTTCTATTGTTTATTCCTGTTTTGGCGCTCCTGTTTAAGAGAGAAAAAGGAGAAAAAGTTGCATTCAATATACAAGTCTTACAAGAACTGCAGAACATTTTCATGAACAGAGATCTGCACTGATCTATTTAAAGCAGTGATCAAATACTGGGTTATCTAAAAATTCAGCTCCACTGTATGAACAACACAATCAAGAGTAATCATTAACAGCTGTCAGAAAGAAACCCTGCAATACTCATGGGACAGCGGACACAAAGAATATAGTGTTTATTTTTTACCTGATCCAATCGAGAGCGGTTCTGTATCTGAGGAGGTTCAAAGGTCTGTCGGGAAGAGCAAATATGAGGAAACAGACGAAAAAACAAGGATTAGACTCTGAGGAGGAAGCATCTAGAACCATAAGACAATATAGATATTCATTCAAAAGGTGCTGAACTCAAGTTCGACCAAGCCCACCTTTCGCACCTCCTCCTCTTCTTCCTGCCTCTTCTCATAATGGGAGAAGTCATCAAAGATGGAGGTGGTGTGTTTGTAGGTGGCGATGATCTTGAGCACCTGCTTGGCCTTCTCCAAAGGAACCTCCTGGGTGTCCCGGGAGTTGGTCACTGGTTTGTTGTCGTTGTTTTCCAAGCGGATGTGGCGTAGTTGGCTATTAGGCACATCCTTAACAAACAACCAGTCCACATCAAACTTGCCTTTCCACTTGTCCTGTGCCCAAACACCCGCACTGGTACCATAGTCCACTGGCGAACGCATCTCTGCCACGCCGCAGAAATGACCGCTGCCATTGACGCTGAACAGCAGGTACACAGGGCCCTTACCGTTCATGGCCCGGAAGGCTGAGTCCAGCCGCTTGTTGCCATGCTCTGTGCTGCACCAGATGGAGTACTTGATGGAGCGGTGGATATCGTCCTCAGAGTAGCTCTTTATGATGAAAACACGTCCGTTCTTCAAATTCCACTCAAAGTCCTTAGGGTTGTAGCTATGGGAGGCACGCAGCTTGTCCAGCACTGGGTGGGACTCTACACCAGGTCCCTGGTTGGCAGAAGTTTGGGGGCCACTGTTCCCACCACCAACCATACCTAGCATACCACTACCATCTTGGCCAGGGCCACCCTGACCATAGCCTTGGTTACGGTTGCGGGGGGCAATCCAGCGGGTCTGGGGTTGAGGGGGCTGGGTTTGGTTCTGGTAGGCTTGAGGTGGTGGCTGATGGTGCTGGTGATGGGGGGGTTGGGGCTGTAAGGCCATAGGCTGCATCTGAGGCTGCACCAAAGACTGGGGAGGGGGAGGTTGCATGGGTCCTTGCTGCATGGGGGGTTGAGGTGGCAATCCATGAGGCAGGCCGAGAGGCTGCTGCTGCAGTGGAGCTGTGGCTATTTTAGTCACCGGGCCCTTGTCCCAGGTCCCAATGTTCATGTTGTGTTTGATAGGCGGAGGGGGAAGTGCTCCTCCTGGATTGGGCATTCCTGGTTTCACCTTCGCTTTCAATTGTTGTGGCTTGGCGGGCTTACTGGCAATAGCAGCCCAGGAGGTGGGTTTGGGTGGAGGCATTCCTATAGGTGTGGCGCCATTCCCTGTGGGTGCCACAGCAGGTCCACCGATAACAGACCCCACAGCCTTGACTCCCGACCCCTGGCCAGTGACATCCCCTCCGATCTTCAAGCCAACCATACCCTGCTCCAGGCTGTTCATGCCCGGGGCTTTATTGAGGGTGTCACTGTGAAAGCCCGTCTGACCATCAGGCACCAGGGTGCCCCCAAGGGAGCTGGGAGGGTAGCTGTAGCTGCCTCCATAGGCTGAACTCTGAGTCTGCTGGCCCTGGGAGCCACTTGTGCCCCAAGCAGAGAAGGGAGGGTTTTCAGGGAAAAAGTTAAACCTATGGGGATAGATGCTGCTTCCCAAGCCACCTGGTTGACCAAACACTGTGTCTGGCATAAAGTGATGATCTCCATTACTCAAGGGTCCGTAGGGGGTCAAGTATGGAATAGGGGGATCCCCACCTGTGGACCAGGGAGCCTCACTAAGGGGATACGGAAAGCCAATGGAAGGGGCGTAGTAGCTGGACAGGTAGGGGTCGGTGATGGACTGGTAGCTGTTGTTCTGGGTGAGTGAATGTCAGCAGAGCAACAATATTAGAAAATGACATAGACATACATAGAAGCTGTTTCTTTATATAAAAAACTTTGAATTAATTTTGGAGTTAGACATGATGATTCAACATTATTATTATTTCAGAATTTATAGTGACACAATGATGAGAAGAAACGCTCAATCTTTAATTCTATTGAACATTTTCTGTTCTTTACATGCTAAGCCGTGGTGCACATGAGTCTCTTTATATTCTGTTGCATTATTAAACTGTAAGCCCACCCATTGTCACAAAATGCACTTTCCTAAAAAAACAAAGACAGACTTAAAACATGAGGTCTAGTTTGCACTTAATTAACATGTTTTATTGATAATATTAGAATAAAAATTCAGATACAGGCATGCAGCCTTACCTGAGTTGATTGACCAGTGAGGTATGGCTCAAAGTCATTGTCATGGACAGTCTCCTTCTGATGTAGAGAACCATTTTGCACTGTAAAGAAAAAAACAACATTATTTTACACTTACATAAGCATGTATGGATTATTTATGCATATTCAGTTTGAGTTGTTGAGGCTTACAAGATGTGCTGTATTTGAAATGGTCTAAAGTAGGTTAAAATGAAATGCACATTTTATTCAGTCTGCTCCAACACAGCACACAACAGATGAGGAGATATTTCTGATCAGATATACTAGCCCCATTAGCCACCTGTCCATACACGATGTGCTTTCTTTTTTGTTTTTCCGTTATACCGGTGCCCTACTAAGGTTTTAATTAATCAAAGACACGATTACACGTAAAATTAGAGCTCCTGTCTGTCCTAGAAGTGAATCAGCCTTTGGCCTGCAGCCAGTCAGGCCTGTAGGTTAAAGTGAGTCAAGTCCTGAGCGTCACTTTGCCTCTTCCAGTAACTGTAGAAAATCAAAGATGACTTGAATGTCATAAAAAAAGCAATTGCAAGGTCTTAACGCGACAGATGCAAGCACTACATTTGCGGGAAATGGATAATAGATGACTGCAGCACAGTTCTGCCTGTACCTGTGTTTCTACCTGTTTGGACCCTGAACACACTTAAAAATGCAATGTATACTCTTATTAGTTCTACATGTACCTCTTGCATTGATGCAAGATGGAAATTTCTGCATTTTCAGTCATAATTTTTGGGCAAGAACAGGCCTATAAGATTCTGCCTGTTTTAATTTAATCCAATGGGAAACCTCTTTGCCACCCTATGATCAGGAGGAATCCTCTCCCTCAGTTCACAGACCACTTTGACTCACTTCAGGGAAAAAAAGGTGGATGTCATTACTGGATGAGGTTTTACACAAAACCTGCACTCATCCATATTCTGAGACAGAACTGGAACATAAGTTTTTAAAGGAAAACTTCACCATCATGAGCATCTTTAAATCATTTAGGTGCAATAGGTTCCCTTTCAAATATAGAGTATATATACATTTTTTTCAAAATAACAGCTTTTCTTGTACATTTTCGTGTGCGTTTTTGAATAAAACCATGCTGATACAAAAATGTGTTATCAGTTTTCTACTTGACTTGCAGTGAGCAAAATTTATCCAACCAGAGGGACAGTGTGGGAGGACACAAGTCCCTGTGGCTGTAATTTTAGGGGCCCAGGACTGAAGAGGTAGAGAGCACCTGGTACACAAATCTCTTGACAGCATTACCATGACATAAAGTGGAATATTCTTTTAAGTAAAAGCTAATTCTCTCTGATCTACATGTAGTTATTTTAGGGAAATTTAACTTGTGAGCCGAGGAATTTTAACAATATCTTTTTAATCTCACTGCATTGATTTTGTGCACTATATGTAATTGTTAGATGTATTATAACTATGAAAGGCTTACACATTTGATGCCATCACACTCAGCTGGTGTAAAATTGGGCCACAAAATGTGAAGATATTTCAACACTGTATTTTATAAAATGCAGTCTTGATTGGAGCTTCAACTCACCTTTAGATGCCTGTCCCTTTGATCTCTGCGTCCGTTGTTGGTCATGAAAAAGGAAAAAAAGCAGAGAAAAAGACTATATGGTTAATTTCAGTTCATTTGATTTTGCACACATTTCAGATCGGGCTGAGAAAAGCCTCTGAAGTTATCAGTGTATGGGCTCAGACGCTAACACAACAGACTACTTCCTGAATACAGGCAATGGATAACACTTATCTAACCTCAACATACAGTGAAAGCTGGAAATTCTGGTCCCTCGTTTAAATCCATGGCCCTCTATTTGGCTTTGCTCATAATGATTCACAACAGCAAGATCCCTAATTAGCCAGTTTACGATAATTAATGCACAACTTGGCTAGCTAACGTAGCTTTCTTAAAATGGCTTTTTAATACACGCCAATGGCGTTGTTGAAGCTTCAACTTAGTTTGTGGTAAAAGTCTACATATATTTCGGTCAGGTTAGACTTAAGTAAAATGTTTAGACACCTAGAGTGAAAAGTTAGGCTTTCATGAATGACTTACTGTCGCTTTTATCTCAGTATACATTTTTACGTTAGCTTTAGGTTTCACGTACTCAACCATAGGTGAAGATTTTCTCTTCTGGCAAAAACACCAGGTTTCAGATAAAGAGAAGTCTGACAACAGTCTAAATATTACAATATAGATGCCATCATTCCCAAAATGTACATCATAGACGGAACGTAGCTAACTTACTAGCCATAGCTACATGCACCGGCCAACATTTGTGGCTAGTTAGCACTTCCGAGGAATAGCCATAGCCCAGAATATCGTTAACATTAGCAGGTAGCTAGCTTGCAAGCTCTCTACAGGAGAGGTACACCGGCCTTCCTACCTGAGGGTCAATGCTTGTGGCAGACATAATTCATTAAGTAAGTCCCTGGATTCTCACAGAGCCCGGGCTTGTGACTGGATTTCGAGCCCCGTGATTTGGAAAAAAGCAAGTTCACAGCTCAGTTTCAGTTAGCGTGTGTGGCTAGTAGTTGTAGCAGCGCAGGCTCAGCTGTCTATTTTCCGCTGTGTGCACGTCTCCCAACTTCCACACTTCAAGTCTGTCGCCTCGGTTACAGGGCCCGAAACGAGTCAAGTCCCGGTAGAGCTTTTCAAGTTAACGTAATGTGTCACCAGGTAGAGCTTTCGTATCTTGGTATTTCTATCCTTGATCGCCTCTCACTTTGTCTTAATTATTCCAGAGAGAGAGAGAGGGAAAGAGAGAGAGACCTCCTCAGTTACGTTAAAGCCCTGTACACTTCCCCAATGGCTGCTCCATCCGGGCTTTGAGCCGCCGCTGCAGTTCACCTCCCTCCCCGCAGGGTGGCAAAAGTTTGGGAGCATCAGTCCCATTCAACAAAGTGAATACAGCTAATGCCTTAAACGGGAGAGCACATAAATACAACCCTTCACTCAGTGGAACTGGAGTGAAAATAACCCACTTTGCCCACAGTGGTCGTATTTTCCCTCGAATCTCCATGGACCTTAACACCCCAGGGATATCAGCAGACTGAATGTGGTTTTCTTTTCTGCTCCAAATAAGTGATTTAGTAGTTAGTACACATGCGAGGCTTGCATTAAAAAACCCGAAAAATAAAACATACGCCCTGTCTGGGCCTACTTGCTTATTCCAGGCATTAGTCAGTTCCTTCTTTGGTTGAAGTTCCTGTTGCATATGTCAGAACTGGAACACAGAAATGAACATAAATGCTGCAGGACTGTAGTTTTTAGGGGTTTCTACTCAAAACTTACACTTTCTTACTGCCTTATATATATAATAGCTGAGTGAAACAGATATAACTGCATTGTAATTTGCATTTCAATTTGAACATGTTTCATTACCAGGAGTAAAATTCACATGCTATTGCACTACTTTACCACAAGGCAGCAGCAAAGATATTCAGAGAATCCCACTAAACTGTCAAAGGTTAATCTTTATTTATTGAGTAACCACTTTTTAAAAATAAAATTACAAGTCATAATACACAAGGATGTTATGATTTAACTCACATGTGTTTAACTCACATCCTTCAAACACTCAAGGAAAGGGCGTACCTTGAATCGTTTAGTATTCTGCTTCCTGTTTGGTAGATAATCATGTTTTTTTGTAAAATATTTAAATAATCCTCAATCTAAATCTAATAAATCCAATCAGATAGGGTGGTCCTGGGGGTCATTTGGTACTCAAACATGAAAAAGACAAAATCAGAGTCGACACTCACAAGATACATTAAAAAAAGAGTTGAGCTGTACTTGTACTTTGGATAGTGAAAGCATTTCTTTATCTATATGCCCTTTGTGTTGAATAGGTCTTATAAAACTTTGTCATATCTCTGTAAAAGTCATGTTTGTTGATAGGCCCTATAGTGTGCTCCTGAAATGCTTTACACAGTAAGAGGTGGAGCTACATGGTATGTTCAGGCTCTGGTTCATTCAAGCATCAATGAGCCTACATTCTGGTATTTGGTGGCTTTTCTGGAAAGCAGTCTCCTGCAGGCCACTGTGCAGGCCCCCAGCCCTGATCGCATTATTTCAGTTGGTGTGTTGGACTCACCTTCAGTGCGTGCTCCACTATGGACCGCAAAAGGGATGACTGGCACAGGACTAGAAGGGAGAGGAAGACCTACATGCCCGAGGATGATGGATGACAGAAGTACTATGCTGCACATCCTGGAGGAGCCTCAGATGAGGCAGGAAGGGGAGAGGATTCGAACTTTTAACAACTGGCCAGCAGATGCTCCTGTAACATCTGGAGAGCTGGCCAAGGCGGGCTTCTTTTTTCTTGGCTCTGGGGATAAGGTCCAATGTTTCTGCTGTGGAGGGATTTTAAGATGTTGGGTTCACGGGGACAACCCATCTGATGAGCACAAGAGGCATTTTCCCTCTTGTAGTTTCATTCAGGGTCAAGCTGTGGGAAATATTCCCCTTCAAACGGGATCCCCTGACTCTGTGGACGGCCAGCTGCTGAGCCAACTCCAAAGGATGACCATGGATGACCAGGGGACAGCTGGACAAGCTGTCTACCCAGAGATGGACGCAGAGGATACCCGGCTCACCACTTTCCACAACTGGCCCACTGAGGCCTCAGTGCAGCCGGATATTCTTGCCAGAGCTGGATTTTTCTACACAGGTGCTCATTCTCTCTCTTTAAAGCCTAAAAAAACATCTGAATCCTGCTTATTCGCCCCTTTAAAATGCCAAGTGATTCACATTTGAGTATATTTCAGGGAATATTCAGCGTTGACCCAGTCGCTGCTAGAGTGACCTCTCTTTGTGAGGGTTCATGGTACAATTGTGGTGCTGACTCATGATTTTGCGGACAGAATGACCTGGACAAAGCTGGGGCCGTTAAAGGAGTGCAGATCCACAGCTTCAGGAAACACAGAGGTTGTGGGAACAATGTGACAAGAACCAAGACAAAAACATAGACTAATCATGTTAAACAACAAACCAACCAAGTTTAGACAGAGGCTAGGAGCAAAAAAAGACTTGAAAGTGGAGGAGGCTGTTTTGTTTAGTTGAGGTTTTTTAGCATTTTTGCTGTGAAGCAGTCCACTTAACAGAAGCTTTTTGCTTTTTCCAGAAGGATATATTACTTATCACCAAAAACCACTTACAGAACACTGTTTGAACTTCCTTAAATCACATGATTTATTTAAAAGTGTTTTTTTTCATGTGTAAAGCTAAGCTTTTGCTTTATTTGAACAGAATTAGAACTCCTACAAAGTTTTTAGTTGGTTGTGAAACAGGTCGAAATTTATTCAGGGGTCTACAAAAGCAAACAAGAAACAAACTCAAACTTTCTGATATAAATTGACCTCTATGCCATTTCATCCATCAAGAATAAAAGCTAGTCAGATGCTCATCTAGCAAATCTTCTCACCATAGTTCTGTTCCTACTCACAGGTCACGGCGACAATGTCAAGTGCTTCTACTGTGATGGAGGGCTGAGAAACTGGGAGCCAGGGGATGACCCCTGGCAGGAGCATGCCAAATGGTTTCCACGGTAGGAATAGAAATCTTTACAGCGCAGATACGAAGTCATGAGTTTCAAAATTATGTATGAATAAGATTGCGTGTGTTATTTGTGTTCTGCATTCTTGCTTTTGCAGATGATAAAGCAACCTATTTTCTTTTCTCAGGTGTGCCTTTTTAATCCAGTCAAGAGGACAGGAGTATATCAGTAACATACAGGATGCTCACTTCCATCTGGGTGAGACTGTGGTGAGAGCCTTTCCTCCCTGTTATCAGCACACGCTATACTCGCATACTGACAAATGACAGTTTTGACACCTCTTTTTGTGTGTAAAACCAATCATGTAACCGTTTATACTCACCGTGAATATAAAATATGATTGTAGGGAGGATCACAGAGCTCCATGGGCAGAGACATCGGACCCAGAGGTGGTAAGTCATACAAAACGGAGACACAGCGAAGAAAGATGCATGAGCAAACTTAACGCCACCAAGTAAACCTGGATAATAAGATATAAGTTCACACAAAATAGGGAGAGGTTAGCTTAATCGCAGATAATGGGAACAAAAGGCAGCAACCAGCTGATTTAATAATCTTAGGATCTGCAAATTATATATAAAAAAACATTTTGGATGAATAGACGAGCAAATCAGACACTGAACTGACTCTCTTTAGAGTAAGCAGGTCATTCCTGTTTCTTTGTGAGTCTGCAGAAAGTGAACCATTAGCATGCTCAATTACCTGAGCTAATGTTTGCTATAGGATTGGGATAATTAGAGACCGCTGCTCATGGTCTAATTGAAGTCACGAGAAAGCAGTTATTCCTTACAACCAAGGAGCCACACTTTTAAGCCTTTTCAGCGTATAAACAGAGGCGATGAGGTTTAAAATGTTAATTTATCAGGAGAAAAAAAGCAAGATTTGTCATTTATGTCCCCATTTCTTTCTCTGTCTGTCTCTGAGCACTGGTTTACTCTCCCTTAGATATGGTGGGAGGTCTGCAAGCATCCTCAGCCATGCTGACTCCTGTGGTGCAGACGGTGCTACAGATGGGCTTTGAATCCAACCTGGTGGAGAGTCTGGTCCAGACCAAGTACCTACTGACAGGCCAGCACTACACCTCTGTGTCTGACCTGGTGACTGACGTGTTACAGGCCGAACAGGAGGAAAGACAGAGAGCGCCACAGAGCAGAGGTAACACCATCATATCTTACTATAACCTTAAAAATCATTGAATTTTAAATATTCAACGTATGAACGGCCTTTTTTGATATATGTGTGTCTTCCAGAGACTGGAACAAGGCAGGGTCCGAGCACAGGAAATGTGAGGACGCAAACAACCATAAGAGAGAGAGGTTAGAGGTCAACATTTTTAAAATCTGGCAGAAAATAAACTCTGAAGTGTTGGAGTACCAGTGCACTAATGCTTTCTGTGTGTGTGTTTTCATCCACAGTTAAAGACCCGAGCCCCGAGGAGCTCCTGAGGCAGCTGCAGGAGGAGAGGACATGTAAGGTGTGTATGGACAAACTAGTGTCCATTGTCTTCATCCCCTGTGGACACCTGGTGGTGTGTGGGGACTGCGCCGCCAGCCTGCGTCACTGCCCCATCTGCAGAGCTGTGATCAGAGGCAGCGTGCGAGCTTTCATGTCCTGAGTGATAACACGCAGAGACGGATATTGCAGAAGCCGCGCCGAGCTCCCTTCTGTGCTGTTTTTACCATTTACAACTGAAATAAAGTACGATGATCGCCGGTTACTTGTTTTGTTGGACCATTTTCTGTAATAAACATTTTAAACCGCTCAAAATGTGTTGAGGTTAAGTGTTAGAACAACCAGAGAATAACTTTTTTCCACACAAATGCAGTAAAAGATCACATTCTTTTATTAACAAACACCTTTTTACATGGCCACAAAGCACAGTTCTGGATAAATAGCATTTCACAATCAGGTCACATGGGGCTGAAGCAACACAAACACAAAACAGAAGAGAAATAATGTGTTTTTTTCCCCACTTTCCATACAAAGAAAAGGGATTATCTACAAACCAATGCTTGCTCTTTTTTCTGTTTTTGATGGGACTAGCACACAAACACTATCCTAACAGTTTCAGCTAACTCCAGTTACTGGGCTTTAGGCAGAGACTGTATTGCACTGAGAGGAAGTTTACATGACATTTTTAGTAGCCTCTCCCACTAATACTGATTATGTTACAATATGAGGTGCTTTGTGTTTCACTCACGCACACACACCCGCCTATAAGCCTTTCAGGAGTGTGTAAACTCTAAATTATACACTATTTCGTCTGTCCAACAGAGAGTGGCAACTGGATCTCTTTCATCGGCGGATTTTTACTATCCTTGACAGCTTGTTACTGTTTCTGTGGCAGTGAAGTACTTTTAATATCACAGAGAAAATAACACTTTGGAGTATTTTGGGTGCTGGCAGAGAGACAAAACAGGAGCAGAATAAACAAAAAACAACTGATTTGTTCGTAACTCTTTTGATTACAAAAACGAGAATGCAAGCAGACAGTTTTTAACTTGGCTCTGTAGTCACATGTTTTTTTTTTTTTTGTGTAGTCTCAATAACAACAAAAAAAAAAGGACAGAGTGGAACTTTGAAACAATCATTGCAAAGTGCTGAGTCCTCCTGAAAGACCAGCAAAAATACACTCACTTCAAACTAACGGTTTGATCGGAAGTTAATAAGAGACGAGACATGAAGAAGTGAGGAACCTTACAACTTGTACATGAACACTTTGAACACCAGAGGTCAGTAGTGATTCACACAAGTGGTAAACCCACACAGATGCAGAGTCTCAGCTGACATCAGCTCACATGAATAAAAAAGTGCTACTAAATCAATCAGTAAGAGAGATATGACCCACATATGTAAACGTTATCCTTAATACATATGTTTTTTTTTTTTTGTTGCTGAGTCAGATAACATAAATCTGACCCAGCAGCTTTCTGCTTCACACACACAGAGACATCAGTTTTGCTCTTACGGCATTGCTTAATGTTATACACATAATTACAATACAAACAAACCCTGTAAAAAAACATGCTATGTAACAATCACAACTGAGACTATCACCACTGAGGGTCTGTACTGACAGGAGACACAGCTCTGGTACAGCCATGCTACTTCTACACTTGAAGACCATACCCAGATGACTCAATACTGTTGTGCGCCATGTGGATTCCAAAGAAAAAGGAAACATCTTTTGCTTACTTGAAGTTAAAAATATGTTGTGTAATCTTTTGCTTGAGTGTGTGTAATGATCACCCCTGTCAGCAGCATAGTGTGTCAACAGTGAGGAGAAGGAGAGCTGAGTTGGATTCAAAGCACCTCTTCTAATGAAACATCTGACACTTCACAGACACGCTCGCTTGGCTGTTGGTGAAAATAGTCACATGAATAAGACTCCAGAAATAAAAAGTTAAGACTCACATGCTGTTCCTGGTTTTTTGGGAACATCTCTTATGCTCGTGTGCATTTATGTCAGTTCACATTTCAAACTCTAAATCTAAATTCCTCCTCCTGTTCTTGTTTCATTATTTACATTTTCTATTTTTGATGCATTCCCCCCCCCTGTAGGTTTGGTGCTTTTGTCCTCCCCCATCATTTCCCCCCTTTACCTCTCCACTCCCCAGCCTCTTCCTGCTTTGCTCGTGTATTTATGCACACAGATCCTGGCCTAAAGTAAACAGGCAGCGCACAATGGCTCATTCCGCAGACTGCACTGTAATTCAGCCCTCCGGCCAAGATCTGAGCCAAACCAGCAATAACATGCTAAATCACTGAGTCGTCTAAGACTCGGCACCGCAGACTGGGAACGCTGGGCAGTCCCTGATTACATCCACAGTGTATTTATATACTGTACATGTTCTATACAGTCATGTTCCTGGGTGGATCATTACCAGTGGGTCACAGCAATGAGACCTGAGTAGAGAACTCAACACAAAGAAAATGATTGATACTTCCCTAAATACAAAATATGAGCCTTTGTTTCACTGTAATCCCCTCATTCCTGAACCCATTATGGGAAACAATGGACCCTTACTGGGAAGTGTTGTGTGTTTTTTTCAGGGGCAGCGCACCAGTAAATGACATGTTTAAAAGGACTGAAATCAAGAGGAGGAGGAGGAATGTCTAGCACGCTCCCCCGCGTGCTGGGGTGTTTGTGTCAAAACAGCCATTTTGTCTCCGTGGGAACTTGCTGTGTCACCTCCCCGCTGGACACCGTGTCTTCTATTTACGTAGACCTGGGTAGAACAGAGAGGAAAAGAAACATGGGTGGAAGAGTTAGAGGTTTTTATGGGAAATCCAGACACACACTCACTTCGCTGGATACATTTCTGCAGGATATGACTCCCACTGGATTGGGGAGACAAAAACCTCCTCCCACCCATTAAAGACAGAGCTGATTAAACTGTCAAGGAGCTAATAAAATATTCATGTCATGTTGGCAGAGGATTATATCATGACTTCCTAGGCTTATTGTCATTAAGTCTATTGAAAAACCTAATTGATAAATCTCATTTTACACAGATTCCTAGTACATCTTTCTCCATGTGGTTGTATCAGAAGCTGCCTGCGGTGATTGAAAGCACACGTACACCTAACATACGCAGCGTCGTGAAATGCCTTCACGTTCTCCCTGAAGCTCTCTGACAGGATGTAGCATGTTTCAGAGTGAGGTTAACTTCGAGACATGAGTCAAACCTAAAGAGACTTTCGGCGAAATCACTCATAGTCTGTGACGTTTTTGTTAGCTCCTGGAAACAAGTGACAAGTGAGTTTCGATTAACTTCTCTGGTAAAAGGTTTCAGGAAAAGTCATTTGGTGAGCTAAAACCAGGATTTCAACTTTGAAGTTTGGTTAAAAAACGGTACAAAATCACGATTTTGACTTGTGGACATTTTCTCACCAGATTAAGTGTCATGTATAACCCACAGAGGAACTTTTAAACATAGCGGTATGTCAGCACATTCATACTTACAGGTACATGGGCTTTAAGAGGAGATGAGTTTGTTTCTCATTGACATGGTAGAGAGGGAATGGGTCAAATCCACCAATAAAATCAACTGAAAACAAAAAGGATGAAACACATGAATAAATATGAAGGAAATCAAAAGAGAGACAACAACAGAATAAGACTGTGAACTAAACAAAAAGACAAAAACATGAGCCAAAATAAGAGATGAAATGGAAACAAGATGCAGCGGGAGAATGTGATGCGGGTGGGTTGAAAGGTAGAAAGCTCACGTAGAAGAGTAAAAGTATGTTTTTCTTCCCCAAGTTCCAGCTTTGAAAAGTCAACAAAAACTAAATAAAAAATAAGAGACAAACATCTTTGATTTTTTTTTCATCTGCCTGCAGCTAAAGGGGGAAAAAAAAATCTCAGGAACAGGTGAAAGCTGGCCAGCTGTCAAAAAAGCCGAAGCCTTTTTTATCGCACAGAAACAGAGGTGACCTTCTAGCGCGGACAGGACGCTCAACTCTTTCTGTTTACTTCCCCACTTTGGAGTTCAGTCCCTAAAGATGAGCAAAAAGGTGTCACGTCGAGGGAGAAAGTGAGGGACATGCTAGTGACCAAAGTGCTGGGTGATTTTTTTTTTTTTTAGCAGATTTAGATACTTTCTGAGGTGAGGGGGACTTTTGAGAAAACACAAAGGCTGAAGGGGGAGGGAGAAGGAGGGAGAGGGAGGTGTGTCACGCTTGTCAGTCTGACTGACAGGGGGCCAAAGAGATTAGGCCTGAGGGGTGCATGTGAAAGAGGCCAACATGTCCAGGAGCTCTCCGAAAACATCATGTGAGATGGAGTTTGAAGCTGATTCAATGGAAAAAGACACCAAAAAAACATTCAGCAGGACGATAAAAAAAAGGAAAAATGGGCAGATCAGTTGCTCTCAAACAGCTGAGGGGGAAAAACAGGCAAACGCCAGGCGTGGAAACTACAGTAGGGCCAAATCAGTTCCATCCTGATAAGGGGAGGCAGGGTGGTCTGCTGAATGCTGATATGTAGACAGGATGAGGGACAAGAGCTGCAGTGTGTGTTTTTGACCCTGCCCTGGTTTCCTGGGATTCTCCGTTTCATCTCTACAAACACACAGCACACATGAAGTCACACACCCACTCTGACCTCTTCCCTGATCTTTTCTGTATCAGTGGTTTTCTCATTAAAAGCAGGTGGGGACCGCCCTACCACCACCACATCGCCATGATAAACAGCGCCGAGGAATACACTCTGATGATAATGACGCCTGCCATTTTTAGACGCACAGGCAGCTCTCGGGATGGCGGTGTCTAGTGGGTCGGTCCATCCGTCAATCTGTCAATCTACACGCTTGAGTTTTGGGGTGAAATTCCCTGACAAATATTGGATGGATTGATGTGAAATGTGGCACAGATTTTCACACTCTCCTGAGGAATCTTTCTAATGACTTTGGCGGTTTTATCCTGCACCAAAAATAGGTCAAAATTTCCATTTATGACGGGGTATCTTGAAACTAAAAGCCAGATTCCTCCCCCCTCTTGTGTCTTTTGCAGCGCTGAAGGGAAAGCTGTTTTAGAGTTTTTTAATTATGACAGGAAATTAAAGCGTACCTAATGTCTCGAAGCTCCAAATTTGCACCCCGACAGGTGACCCTAAGTGCTGTTACCAGCTCTCGCTACGTGAAAAAACATTAGCTGTGGCGCATTATTAAAATCCCATTCATAACCCGTGCTCTCTCCCTCCTACATAGTGTTCAGTTTATATCAGTTTGGTAATTGCATCTCCATTTTTTAACCTTTTCCCATTAATCTCAACACACATTGGTCTGACATTGGCCTTTTACGTGGCTTGAAAAACAATAAATTAAAACTTAAATTATGCCAGCGAATGATAGTTGGTATCTCGCTGTAATGGGCCAAACTTGCTGAGATGAAACGCTTGGAAGCCATTTTCATTCGTCCAAGAACTCGTCTAATGTTTGGCATTTTCACGGTGGATGGCACTCTTTTTAAGGATAATCCAAAACATAGAAAATAGATACTGAGAATCCAAAGTACAGCATGAGCTGTGTATTCAGTTTGTCTTTTCTCATTTGGATCGCTGCCTCTGAAACAGATATTGGCAGCTGATCTGCGTGTGTGATCCTGTAACGCTGAAAGGGGCGAGCTCGGTTTCTTCCAGGCAAACAGGACAAGCTGATTCTTACTTGTGTGGACACTTGCAAGACATGAAAAGTATGTAGGTCAATACTTCAGGCATCCAAGTAGAGCCCCCAAAACAAGCAGAGAGTAATGTAAGACGATAATGTTTCAGTTCGAGTGGAAACGGGCTGAAATCAGAGCACCTGCGCTGAGCCAGGAGACGAATTTACAGCCAATCTGCAGAATACTGATGCATCTTCTTCTGTGTGTGTATGTGGAAGGGTTGATGCGGGCAGTGAAATGAAACACAGGCACAAAGATAAAAGGTAAAAAGCCAGGAGGGAAAGACAGGGTGAGAATAAAAGAGCGCAGTGTGGTGAAGATCGAGGAAAACAAGGAGAGACAAAGAGAAGGAGAGATACAGGGCAGACGGTTCAAGACTTCAGAGCCTGGACAAGCTGTAAGTGGGGAGTTATAACACATCACTACAGTCCCCCTCCTTCTCTTCCTCTGTCTGCTTCACACATACACACTTGAGATACAAGGGAACTCTTCATAGCTGGCTCCTATCTGCAGCACTGCATCTCTGTCCTCACACACCATTACACAGCTATCACTGCTTTACGGGCCGCTGGGCCGGTCCAGCTGTTTTAATGCTCGGTTATTTTGAATATGAAAACTTCTGCTACGTTTGACTGAGGGTGTATTTAAAGTTAATCATCTGTTCAGAGAAGAGAATGGTTTCCGATTAGCTTGTCAAGTTAGATCACATTCAAGATACCGAAACTAAGGCTCTGTGTTTATTTATATATTTGACTGAGTGTCACTTATTTTTGGGTCAAAGCAACTGCGAATTTCTCATACGAAAAACAGCAACCCCCCCCCCCCCTTTTTTTTGTGCTGTCATTTATATTCATGTGAGCACTGACCCACTCGTAACGCCCTTTATCTTTTATTTATATGATAAAAAAACACATTTTTTTCTAGCTTTTCTATCTTTTTCTTGTCATTCTGGGTGAAGTCAAACCCAAAATTACACAAGACCAGTCCCAACGGTCATAAAACTGATATCAATGCCACACTCCACCAGGTGTTCATAAAACTAGCAGGAAAGAGAAGAAGCTGTCAATCATCCCAGTCTGTACAGTGTGTTGCTAATCAGGCAGCAACGCCTGTGTAGAGGTGTTTCACAAAAAAAATATTGTGGAGTTAAAATCAACACAGAGACTTCACTACTTTGAAAATGTGAATAATGGGGATTTTTGTTTTTCAAGCTCTGTCAATCACGTTGTGATGATGCTAGAAATACACTGATTTACTCTTGGAAACATGGTTTTGAAAAGTGGAATATCATTCAGGGAAAAGTAACATTTTCAAAGACTATGCCTTCAATTTTGAATGGATATATTCTATAAAGTGTTTTTTAGTATTATATTGGCTCTATAAGTGGCAGCACACTGTGTACATTTACAGTAGTGACAAAGAGGATACTTAACAGAATGTTGCCCATTCTGTTTATTCCTGACCATCCTTCACACCACCTGCTCTGTTATAGCCATAATTTAATCTGCATGATTCCTCTTCAAACTGCTTTTACATTTAAGGTTTTATTTGACTAACTGCTTGACTGTTTTGTTTTGATTCAAATGGATAAAAAAGAGAAAAATCGCTACATTTTCCCCTTGAATCTTTCTGCTTTGGCACGATAAGAGTATAAAGTGTGGACCTTCATTATCCCACCTCATAGGTAAATAAATGCTCTGCATAAATCCCAAAGCAGTAAGCCACCCTATAGATGCCCTGACGATATTTATTTGTTTCATGTTGTATCGTATCGTATTGTTTCATATCGTATTGTATTGTTTCATATCGTATTGTATTGTTTCATATCATATTGTATAATATTGTTTCATAACGTATCGTATTGTTTCATATCATATCGTATTGTTTCATATTGTATCATTTCATATCCTATCATTTCATATCGTATTGTTTCATATCGTATAATATTGTTTCATATCATATCGTATCATATTGTTTCATATTGTATCATATTGTATCGTATCATATCAATCATGTTGTATTATATCGTATCATTTAATGGGTTCTCAAACGATGGGGGAAAATGTTATATTTCTTGTCCCTATTAAAAGCAGCCTCTGGAACAGCATGGCCTCCTCACAATCTAGCTCCAAATGCAGAAATTGAATGCAGCCACTGAACTGAGACACAGTCAGTGTGACCGTGAGCCAACATGCACAACAAGGGGACCCAAAGCAGCTAAATGGATTCCAGCCTCTATTCTTTCTATTATTTTCACCTGAGCTGAATAAAAAAAAACACTCAAGCCCCCTCAGTTTAACATAAAAACAAAACATTTCGACACGCTAACATACAAACAGGTGCAGCATTTTTTATCGTTTGACCTTTTCTCTTTTTTCTACAACCTGGAGACACGGTGCCACCCAGACGCCCATCATTCAGCCCTTTGGTTCTTGTGTCTGCTGTAGAGGATTTTCTGGATGTGACTCAGCACAGAGGGGCGGCAGCATAATTAGCAGACATGCTAAAGCGAGCTTATCCCGGCACTAGGCTTCTAACTCCATGACCTACTTTACAAAGAGGATTTTCCCCACCACTCACTCTGACGGTGTGTCTGCTCGCCTCCGATAACTGTGGAACAAATTCACACTCGCAAATGCGCACAAACATACACATCCTACTACACAAATACAGGAGATTTGTAGGTACAGGAGTGCATGTACGCATTTAGAGTAGTACACTTGAGTGGCAGAGGAATGAGGGAGGGAGGAACATCTCTTGTGCCCAAAGCCTGAGAGCCATGTCAAACCCTGAACTGATAGTATATGATGCTTGTTATTCTGCCCATTTTGTCTTCTTTGCCTCTTGCATGTGTGTGTGTGTGTGTAAGTGTGTGTTTGCGCATGTTTCATTCTACTATTCTTTACGCAAGCTTGAGCACACAAATCTAACTCAGCCGTCTCCCTTGAGAGAGCGAGAGTGCTCGGCGTGAGAGGAATTCCTGTCTTATCTCCTTATTTGTGAAAAGCCCATCTTGTCTTGTGTTGTTTGTTCTAATATTTTTGCCCCATCTCCTTTTTTCCCCCTCTCTTTGCTCCCCTCATCCTCCCATCTTTTCCCCCTCTCTCTTTCTTTCCTATCTTTCTGCCTCTCCTGGGGATTCATCTCACCTTTCTTCTCTTGGCGAGACGCAATCAGCTGTGGAAGTTATTGACCTGCAAGGCGCTTAATGAGGCTGATACAACGAGTGACCAGAGACCTCTAACTTTTTACAAGCACACCTCATTAAAGCTGGGCTGGGAGAGGGGACAGAGAGATTTCTTGAACACATGGAAATTGGATTCTGATACATGATTATTCCATCTATGTGGAGAAACGGTAACAGGAATAAAGCCTATGAGAGCTGGGGAAAAAGTTCTGGGTAGGAGGAGAGATGCTGAGGCAGCCAGGGAGCCTGATTCAGAAACTGCCTTTAATCTACACATCAAATGGGAGCGGGAAATGAGAGCAGCAAAAAGCCTTGGCTGGGGTTTCTGTGTTGCAACGAGAGTGTATGTGTGTGTGTGCGTCTATGCACCTGTGTCTTCATGACCGCATACACGTGTATGTGAGTGTGCAGGCAAAGGGCTGATTACAATAACAAAGAGCTTGCAGTTGGAAGGGACATAGCAGTGCTCTCTTCTAGCACAGCATGGATCAGAGAGCAACAACATGATAATTAAAACCAATAAAAAGTAACACCATGTCCTGCTTTCACACCAAATTTTCTTTAATCAACCTTACTCTGAAGCTCTCTTTGTTGTTTCGCCTGTTTTCAAGTGCGGATAACCTCTCTCTGTGAGCTCAAAAAAACACAGCTGGTCACAACAGTCCACATCAGGGGAATAAACAAAGCGAAAATGTTATAAAAACAAACAGGAAAATAAAAGTTATTAAGTTTTTTTGTTTTTATTGGACTCCATTTCTGCTAACGTGGCATTGCTCTCAGGGACCGGTGAGTAAGTGGTACTGCCCGGCACTGCGAGAAGGTCACATGGGTGGTGATTCTAACCACTCACAACTGCTGAATCTTAGGTATGCGACCAGCAAAAACCTGCATTGACTTCTATAGCAGGAGCACACACAGAAACCACATCACCTGAATTACAAGGGAGTGCTGTCAAAGATGGAATTAGTGCATGCAGTGCTTTGTTCAGTGCTGTGTTTTCATATCAAATTAGAGTTTTGGTTTTGTACACCTCAGCCCCATAATCACCTTTCTAACAAGCATATACAGCCTGTGTGAATGCCTGAGAACTTCCCTTTAATCTTGGCTAATCCTCATAGAGAGCGCTTGCTCACTGAGCTCACATTGACAAGGCCAAATTGTGTAAAAGCAGAAGGGACTATAATCAAGAAGCAGCTATTTTCCTCAGATATCATGCTCAGAGTTAAAAGCTAAAAGTCTGAGATGACGCTTTTCTGCTGTGTTGTAGCTTTAACATTCTGTGAGACTATCTCACAAGATGAGACCCTAATAACTAGCGACTTGCAGCTGAATGTATCTCTCACAAATGCTTTGAGCTTTTCTTTGAAGACTTTACAATAGAAACAAGGATTCTTGCAAGCTGTTACTACCACTACAACCTCTGACAGAAAATCACCACCTCACAGTGTCAGTTTCCAGTTGCTAAAATGCACATATTTTTGATGACGTCTGCCACAAAAAGGGTCTTCCTCACTTACGTCGTGTTAGCTTCTGAGCTAATGTTATGTCAGATAATCTGTAGTTACAAGCTAACATTAGCTAGGGGTGGAAATCACTAGTGGCCCACAGCGATATGATATTATCAAGATGCTTGGGCCACGATTCGATATTATTGCGATTGACATTTTGCAATACAGTGAGTATTGCTAAACAATATATTGCAATGTGTATAATTTTTTCATCTGTTTAGCTAGTTTAGCATTTGGCTTTCCTTTGTGTTTGTCTTATCTACACTGTATTTTATTTTCATGTAAACCATCTTGCAAACCATAAGTGTGGGAGAAAAAATGGATTAACACAAGTATCATGATTTTTTGTTTTCTAATTTTTAAATCGATTTTTTTATTCAAATTAGTTTTTTTTTTCTGGTCAAAATGTTTTTTTGTTTTTTTTTTCTCCAAATTTAAGAATAAATCTTAATAACTGACTTACATGTGATGTATATTTTTTGGGGAAATATGGTTCCAGGAATAGTTGGTCGACAATCATGATCATTCAACTGTTTCACTGGTGTTAAAAATGCAGACAAAATATCGAGAAAATTGACAATATCATAGAATCGTAGTTTAAATTGAATTGAAATCCAAAAAAATTGTAGAATAATCAAATTGGGAGAAAAGCATACAATATACGATACAATATATTGTGATTTAAATTATTTTGTCATAGATTTGTCTTCATATTAACAATTAATTTGAAAAATCGATACTTGGTAAATAAGATGATACGATATATCACCAGACAAGATATCGCAATATCATGCTTTATGGATTTTTTCTCCCACCCCTAACATTAGCTGGTTTTACACTTGGGTTGATGAGTCAGCAAGTATGCAGCTCCAAACTGAAATCACATCAGTCCTTCAGACTCTCACGCTCTGTTTGATGTCAGAGAAAAATGGCTGCTGTGTGAAGTTGGTCAATTCTCAGGCATGCAGTCATAGCTCTGCATGCTGAGGAGTTACTGCACTGCCAGTGAGTATTTATGGCCTCCGCTGACCCCTTTGATCAAATGTTTCCTGTCCTCTGGTTGGCTAACCCCCTGCACAACCCCTGACCTGCTGCATATGAGGTCAGAGCAGCTGAGTCATTCATCAAAAGTGAGTCCGTCTTCCTTTTATGACTCATTTAATGGTTCCCCTTTCAAGTTTCCCCGCACCTTCAACTTGTTCAACGCCTGCTTTTCTGATAAGATTAACTTTCAAGGCTAACTCCTGCCCTTATTTGACTCCATGTTTGAGGTTTAACTCAGGCCAACGTAGAGAAACCAGACAACTAAGATAACACACAGAGGAGCTACTTAAGGAGGTGGTGTATAAACAATGCGGGAAAGGGGAAAGTGCGTGCGTGTGAGACAGAATCTGGGAGGTTCAATCCTGCGGCTCAAAACACACACACAAACACCTCAAGCCTGGCAACAGACAGCTGGAGCAACAACCAAGAGGCATCAGGAGAAAAGTAAGTGAGAGAAGTGAAAGCCTGAGTACATTAAAAGACAGGAACAACAGGTTTACAACAACACTGAGGAGGACCACACAGACGAGGCGAGGGGAGCAGACGAGGCGACAATGTGTGTGTGTGTTTGTGAAAGAAAAAGGAAATAATGGGCTGAAGGAGGTCTGAAGAGAGAACACATGGCTCCTTTGGTTCTGGAGGGAGAGAGAGGGGACCCAGCTGGCGTGGGGGAGGAGAGAGGAGGGGGACAGGGGAAAGATGGAGCGGCTATAGGGTCGGATGGGATAGGAAGAGAAGGAGATGAAGTGAGATGTAGCACTGCTCTCTTAGAGCTGGGAGTTTTTCCATCTGTGTGCGCCACTCTGGGTGTGCTTCATTAACGGTTCGGATGCTCTTTTTCTTTGTCTGTGTATTTATGTGTATTTATGTGTGTATAAGGGTGAGGTTAAACGACTCACAGCTGTCCTCCTCCTCGGTGATAGCGCTGACAACGTAACAGGCGTACACGAAACCCAGGAGCTGTGAACACACAAGCAAACAGGAGAGGTTAGACGCTGCGGTGCCGGCAGCTTGTGGTTTGATTAACAGCTGTGTGTTTGCTTTGATGGAGAAACAGATCACACACAGACAACATCTGGAAAAAAGCCACCAGCTCTGCGTCTGAAAGCTGGCTGTGCAGATGAAGTGACACTGTGGAAAAAAAAAACACTTGGAGAAATACTTAAAATGAGCTGATTAGAGTTTGCTTTCAATAATCAGAACACAATTTTAAATGTGGATATTTGCTTCAAGGATTTGAACATCTGGAAATTTTCTCTGTTTTGTAATATTGTCTATTAAAGTCAGTAGAGGGACCAAAATTTTCCATTTTTGGTGCTACCATGACATGGGAGAAGGGGAAACAATATTCTCATGAGAACTTTCCTGCACCATGAGCATGAAGGTGTGTGTATGAGTGACCTACTGTACTCACACGTGTCAAAGTATAGGACTTATACTATGTTTCCTGTGCTGTGGAGGGTTGGGTATGCCCTCAAGGACATTGGTAGTTCATGCAAAATAATCAATATGGCTTATTCTGTGAGAGTCATGAATGTGCACCCAAGATTAGAAAAATGTTTAATGAAAGATTTTGAAGATACACTAACTCTAAAACTGAGAGTTTGACCTGGTGGTGGCGCTAAAGGAAAGGTCATATTATCACCAACACCAGTAGGGTTCATCCTCTTGTGGTCATTAAGGTTGTCAGTAAATTTGAGAAGATTTGTATGAAAACTTTCAAGATACATTAATTCTAATTTTAAAGTTTGGCCTATTGGTGGCGCTAGAGAACAGGTTAACTCACTGATCGGTTTCATTATTAAGGGCCTATTTATTTCCTCAACAAATGAACAAAGTGACTGACAATAAATCTTTCTAGAGGCAAATATACCAAGGGTCAGATTGAACCCAAGGGTAAAACGTGTTAGTCATATTTGAGGATAATAGAAGGGTTGAATATCATGGAGCTTTGACGAAAACAAGCAACAGGAAAATCTTTCCATGTGTCCTCAAAGTAAACTATACAAGGACGCGACAAGGACTACGGCCTCTACACGCACCAGCAACCTAGCACCAAACAAAGCTTTAAAACGTTAAACATCATGAAGAAGACATATAGACACTAAACCTCGACTTGCCAGTTCACATAATTCAAAAATCTAGCCACTTTTGATACAATTGACTTTCTATAGGCCAAGAACTGCTGAAAGAAGTGGAAATATTAGATCTATGTGTGTCAGGTGTCTCGAGAAGAAGATGCTGATTGTCTAAATACAGAAGTGTTTGCCGAAGAGTATAGCCATGTCAATTGAAAGGTGTCAATGTTGTGTTCACACCTCGTCTGTGTTTCATGATGCTATTTGCGTGGGCGGTGTGTATCCAGGGTTGACAGGGCTCCTCGAGTACACAC